TTTTATCATGAATTTGTATTAGGATAATCCAATAAACATTTTTAAACATATCATAATGGTTTAATAGAAACTCTAAAAGCGTTTTTATAAACAGCCATACTTTTTGAACTAATAATATTCTGTGACTCTTCTAAGGAAACGCTTAAAAATATTGAAAAAAAATTTATAATCCAAAAGAATTTTTTTTTTTTTATTAACATTTGCCAGGCCAACGTATAGTGCCAAGTGGGTACTAGACTAATGGGATCACTTTGTAACTTATGTAAATGTCTAACCGCTATGTGGAACACTTGAAACTAATATAAAATAATAGTGAATGTCAACTGTAATTAAAAAATAAAAATGAAAAAATTCACTATTTATAAAAATAGTAATACTCTTAGGAGAAAGTTCAGTACTTGAAGAAATGCAGAGAAGCAAATTACTTCCTGAAGTCCAACCATCCAGAGATAATATTTTTTAACATTTTGATGAGTATATTTTTACCATTATAAATTTGCACTTGCATGAATTTATATTGTGTCATTGAATATAAATATGCATCACAGCTTTGAAAGTCTGAAAAACTGTTCCATTATGGAGATAGCATTATTTAAATAGTCCCCTATAAAATGGCATTTAGGTTATCTATTTTTCAATATTTTAATCTGCTACAGTGAACATTTTTATATCAACATAGTGTATATACTCAACATAGTGTTGATATACTCAATTCCGCACAAGTGGAATTGAGTATATTTAAGTGGTTATTTTAAACTGAAATGAGGTAATCTGAGTTTCATTTAGGTTTAGTAGATGAAAACACATGCTTCTCTTTAGACCATGAGTTTCCCATAAAAAATCTGAAGTATGCAATCTCTTATTTTTTTCTCTCCCTGCAAATGATACTGATTCCTAAGTACAGGTGATAAAAAATTTTTTGGAGATTGGTTTAAAAGTATCATAGGCTTAAAATCTGGAAGTTTATACCTTTTCTGATCCTCTAGTTCAGCTTCTGAGGGCAGACTTCCTACTTTGTCATCCCTAACTTATGGTCAGCTTTTGCTCACTTTTAGTGATGGCAGCTTATTCCATTTTTAGATAGATAATAGTTTTTTAGAAAGATTTATCCTCCTGTTGAGCTGAAATGTATTGCTTCCTAATGCCACCTATTATTTCTTCTGCCAGAACCATGGAAAATGAAGTCGGATGCCTTCCTCAGAGGACATTCCCCAGCTATTTGAAGATAGCTATCAAATCTTGACATTTCCTTCCCTTTTCTAAGCTAAAACAGTTTTTTCCCCCAACTATATCCATATCTCCTATGTTACGATTTCCATTTCCTTTTCCTTATCGCTGATGTGGTTCAGTAGCGCAAAAGTCACTAACAATCACCCTGATATGGGTATCGTACTTTTGTTAATAGTCCCTCACATCAGTTATACTCCCAGTTTATACTGAACTAAAAGGTAACTTAGCTGCCCTCTTGCCATTCTGTACTTGTGCAGTTGAGTTTTGAACCTAAACACGGAACTTTGCATTTCCTCTCTCATTAAATTTAATCTTATTTGAATGAGCCCATTGTGCTAACTTTAGGATATCTTTTTGAATCATAGTCATCTCAGTTTTTACTGACTGTTCCCAATTTTGTGTAATCTATGAGTTTGATTCATAGGCCTTCTAGAATTTCATCTAAATTACAGTGTTCAGTAGGATGGGGCTGATTACCCTGCGTAACATCCATTTATTGTTTCAACAATCTGTAGTTGCCAAAATCAACTGTTATTATTTTCCCTTGTGAATATTGGAGCCACTTTTCCTCTTCTTTATTTTGCTAGCACCACCCTTATTTTACCTTATGGTTAAGAAAACAGACCCTGGAGCCAGATTTCTGGGTTCTAATCTTTTTGTCACTTTTTATCTGTGCGACCTTGGGTAAATCACTTCTCTGAAGTCTCAGATTCTTTAATCTGTAAATTGAGAGTGACAATAGTACTTATTTCCTGGGGTTATGAGAATTAAATGAGTTCATATACATAAAGCATCAGAACGGGGCCTGGTCTGTAGTGTTATATAAGTGTACTATTATTATACTCATGTTCTGTTCTGAGCTCCATAGTCATATCTCAGATTCTCTGAATTTCCAGGGTTAAATTTGTGTAGTCCTTCCAGCCCTAGCTTTTTTGAAGCAGCTATAGTCTCATGTCCCATGTACTCATATATCTTGGGTTTAAGCTCTCTGTAATATTTCATCTAATAGAGTTGCTGGATGAAAAATATTTTAATATCTTTTTTATTATAAAAGAATTAGTGCTCATTAAAGACAATTTGGAAAATACAGAAAAAAGTAAAAGAGAAAAACAAAATCTTACCACCCAAATACAACCATTAATTTCTTAGTACATTTCCCCCCCTGCCCCATGAAGTAGATATAATCGTGTCATATGTGTTCTTTTTTTGTATTTTGCTTTTCTTTAATATTCTTAAGAATACTTTTAGTCACATAGTCTTTGTTTACAAAAACCTATTTTAATGGTTGCATAACATTTTATTGAGTGAATCATCCATACTTAACCACTTCCCTGTTGTTGAACTTTTAGATTTATCAACTTTTTAATATTCTCAGTTATACTCTGATGAGTTTCTGTATATAGAATTTATCATTATTTAGTAAGGTTCCAAAGATTATTCCTAGGTTGGAAGTTATAAACATTTTTAAGACCTGAAGACTATTTTTGTTGATTGATATGACCAAAATAGGAGGTAGCGTTTTGTTGTTGTTTCATAGTAATCATCTTTCCTTTATCTCTATTCTCTGAATTATAGCTTAAAGTTCTTTTTTGTCGTTGTTTTAACTTGCCTTTTTTCTTTTTTCCAAAGTTCAGGTTATTTTAATAAGTTCTTGGTGCTCACGTTGTAGATTATATATTCTTTCCATATTTTGTAAATGTCCTATTAAAATATGAGGTTATTAGAGAGTTTCCGCATAGGCTATGCTGATACTTCGTAAGTGCTGGAGTCATTTAGTTTTACTGCAGGGAACACTGAGGAGGGGGCCCTAGCTGGTTCTTCTGTTCTGAAATCTTGCTGTTTCTTCCTCTAGTAATTTTTTTTTCAGTTACACTTCTTCAGCTGTGCATATAACTCTGGACTGAGGTCTAACCATCTGTCACCTAGATTATTTCATCAGGGTCACACTTCAGCTCGCTGCCTTCTTTTACCTTTAAAAAATTCTCTTCACTGTAATAAGCATATTTCATAGGCCGTAGTGGAATCCTTTAACCTGATTTTTTTTTTCCAGAGAGCTTTTCTTTTCTAAACAATCTATAGAGAAAAACTTTAAGAATTGTACAAGATTAGGCTCTTAAGTCCATGGTTTAAACATTGAATATTTTAAGTATCTTTATGCATACAATAGTTTTTTAACTTTAAGATATCTTAAATTAAAACTATCTTTATATTTTTTGTTTATCATATTTAAATAATATCACTGCATGGGATTTCAAATGCCTGTCTATTCCAAAACTTGATTTATCTAAACAGAGGAAAACCTACATATACTCCTTTAGCACCACCAAACATCAGCTTATCTGTGTTGTGTCCACAGCTATATAGATTCTTGCACATTTTGTATATTGTGTTTATTTTCATGTATATATCTTACAACTATGTCTATATTTCATTTATTTAAGATCTGGACGTTGGTAGTTGGCTATGTGTTGACTGTTTCATTCAAGTGGAATGCAAGCACTGAACGCTACTTGAGAGCAGTTTCAATTCCTGTCTGGATTATATTGCTTTTTCATTTAGGTGGGTCTTTATAGTTCTTGGGTCTCAAATCAAAGTGAATTTTTTGTAGTATTACATGTTGCGTTTTAAATTCTTTAAAATAATCTTTAGAAATGTTCTGCTTTAATCCTTTATTAATCTTAATGAAAATGTTATGCTTTAAAATGTCTATCTTTTAATTATATTGAGTGTTGATTTTCAAAATGATTCTTTAAAAATAAATATATCTTAAAAAGTAGAGCACACTTGGACTATATGGCCGTTTCTGAGTGTAATACTTCAGGAGGATACAGATTAGCAGTTGAAGATGGTTAGAGATACTCAAGATCATGTGTGAGGAACGGTTAAAGAAACCAGAACTGTTTACTCTGGATAAGAGAAGCGAACTAGGCTATGGGGTAGGGAGAGGTGGAGGTAAAGAGGATATAAAATTGGAAGCCTGTTTTAAGTATTTGAAGGACTGTCCTGTGAATGGTTTAAACAGATCTCTGTAACATGAAGGAGACATGTTAGAGCAGTGAGTAGAAAAGTCTTCAGAGAGAAAAGTCTCTGTTCATCAGAGCAATGATCAGCGTCAGAGCTGCTCTGAATAATGAATTCTCTGTTATTTGAGATTGCACTGTTAGCCAGGTGGCTGCTAAGATGCCGTAGAGTGATTTTTCACGGACTTTTTATCTCCACATCTCAGCCTAAGGAAACATTAAGTTCTAATTTAAAAACAAAATTCAGTAACCTGAAGCAGTAGATAGCCTATTTGAAGCAGGTTTTTGGAGCTACTTATTTGTTTAAAAATAAAACAGTATTGAAATTATGTCTCTGCTTAGAGTCTGATATCAAATAAAGCGTTAGTCTCTAGCTTTGCTGACTTGGAATACTAGAGGAGTTTATCAGCAAGATCCCCCACTGTCTGATTTGACTTATTTTGTATTTGAGGAAGGCAGAGGAGGGGGAGGCAGGCAGATGTGTCCACGAGGCTCTAGACAAACTGAAGGAAATGCAAATGGCTGATGGGTATGGACCTGATCCTCAGCCACTTGTTAACGTTTTTGCATTACACTCTAAGGTGGATACATTGAAGCTTTTGCAGTGCTTCTTTGAGCCATTCCACTTCTTCTGGAGAGAGAGTTTACATCCAGTGATATTTTCGGAAAATCAAGTCAGGCTGCATGACTTTAGAATCTATGCCTGATACAGGTCATTCTGGGGTTAAATGGAGAAGTGGAGTTTGAGTTTGGGATGGTCTTAAATCCTGGATCTGCTTTAGAAAGGACTTGGTTCCTCAAGTGATACAAGCCCATTAACGGTGGACCGGCACATGCCCAGTCCTTTAGACCAGGGGTCTCGGACAGCAGGCGCAGGTTTACTGAGAGAAGTCTTAGGTGGAGGCTTCGTCTGTTCCATGGCCTTTTTAAAAAAATTTTTCCATGTGAAACAATTTTGTTATAAACATATGCCAAATTGTTCTGTCAGTCTACTAAACTGAGTCTTTTAAATTAAAGTGCTAGGTTTTTATTTCACTAAAAATGTTAACTCTTAATAATTGCAGCATCTCTGGCTGGCTCATGGAGAATTCCAGTATTCCTGGTTATTGTTTTCCTGATGTCTGTGGGAACCCTCTATGAAAAACAGAATGGAAAAGAGTCTTCTGGTAAGAAAATGGGCATTCTATTAGTATTACTATTAAATATTTGGGAGAGTAGCTTTATTAAAAAATGCGATAATGAAATAGCTTTAAATCTGTTTAAAAACCCATGGTTGTCTGAATAATAAATTTGTTTAAAATATTTTAGGCTGTTAGACTATACTTCACCTGCCCCTTTTTATTGTGGTGCAATTTATATTACATGAAACTAACCATTAACTATTTTAAAGTAGTAGTTAGTACATTCACGGTGTTATGCAGCCATCACTTCCATCTAGTTCCAAGACACCCCAGGGAAAAGGAAACCCTGTGCCCATTAAGCAGTTAACTGTGAAGTTAGGTTATTTATTTGAGATTGCCTTTTTTTTTCATAATGTTGGCATTTGTATCTATAAACTGCCCTCTTAGAACCTCTTTTGCACTCCGTAAATTTTTATATGTTGTATTTCCGTTTTGGTTTTTTTTGAATCAAGATACTGTTTAATTTTCCTTTTGATTTCTTCTTGCACACTTTGATTAATCAGAAGTGTGTTAAATTTCCACATATTTGTGAATTTTCCAATTTTTTATTGCTGGTGCTTCTGATGTTCTATCTAACAAGTCACTGCCAAATCCAAGGTCACGAATATTTTCTGTTGATCTTGTATCCTACACTTTTGCTGAATTTGTTTATTAGCTTTAATTTTTTTTGTGAATTCTTTAGGATTTTGTATATATTAGATCATGTCATCTACAAATAGAGGTAGTTTTACTTCTTCCTTTCTAATTTCGATGCCTTTTATTTCTTTTTCTTGCTTGATTGCTCTGGTGAGAACTGCTAATACAATGTCGAATATACCATGGTCTTTTAAAGATTATTTTTGAGGTACCCTGGCGGTACGTGGCTTTTATCCAGAAATAGTTAAAGATACAAGTTTCTAATGAGTTGTGGGGAGTGGGGAGGATGGCCAGTTATAATAATGGTTCTTGGATAAGCAGACTGGACTCCTAGTTTACCAACCTTGTGGCAGCAGCTGACTGGAGAGGTACATCTGAACAGCAGTTTCTACAGTGACTGATAATTTTTCCTTGCTTTTTCATAGTTAAACAGAAACTAAAAGAGAAAATTACTAATTTTAGCAGACTTTTGAAAGAAAAAAAAAATTTCTCAGGTATCAAATCAGTTTGTCACAGGTAAGTTAGAAAATAACAGAGAAACAAAAAGAATAAAAATCACTCAAGATCACATGGCCCACAGATTATACCAAAATGTTAACTTATCGTTTGTATGCATTCAGACTCTTTAAAACACAAGAATACTCTACTGGATCATAGTGAACATCCTCTTTTGTAAGCCACATTTTAAACTTATGTCACTAGTACCTTTCTGTGATAAGTAGACTTATGTAACATTATTTTGAGCATCTTAATGTTATGATAATCACAGGGCTATTTGTGGCGCATTATTTGTATGGTTACTTTGTAGAAATTTTTTAAAAATTGTTTCTTTTTTGTTATTTTATTTGTTAAATGAGTAAAGGTAAGAAAATTGTAAGACATCTTATTCTAAACAGTTGTTTAAAATTTTAAAAAATGACCTGAAATAAAGAATCTTTAATTATTTATCTTTCTGACAGCAGAAAATAGGAAAGAATTTGTCTTATATTTTTCTGTCTTTCTAAGTTTTCTTCGTTCAGCCCGTCTACTTGGTCACAGTCTGTCAGACTCTGTGGTCACGTATCAGACCAGTAGAAGTAAACTGCCTGTTTCGGCAACTACTATAGAAAGCTTGGTGGTCTCCACTTGTTCCTCTGTAACTTTCTTTCCCCCTTTCCCCTAATAGTAGAGATTCAGACAGCTCTGCTCACCCCAGGACAGTCTTCTCCTTTTGACTGCCTTTGTCCAGAGCTAAGTACGTACTTTGCTTCAAATTTATGAATAATGTAGGTCTAAACCGAAGGTTTCAGGTGTCTTTTCTCTTCGCTGTAAATTCTAGTCTGCTGGTGACGGCAGCCGAGAGAGCTATGAGGACAAGTATTCTAAGACCGAGTTTTGAGCCACGTTTGATTATTATCAAGTAAAAACCCAGGAGAGTGGTGTGTTGGCTTGCAAGCTAGGTTTCTAGTGTTTGTATTCTAGACTCTTACAAGGAAGCAAATCACAGGGACACAGAATAAACGTTGAGAGCAGATTTGAAAATGATGTTTTTCCTTGCTTTGTTTAGTCTCATTCCAGCCTGCTTCGGAACAGGTTATTCTTGATATAGAATCTTTTTATAGATTTCTAGATTAGATAATCCTCATCCTAAAGTAAATCTTTTAAACGTTTTTCCCCCCTAAATTTCTGAATATTTTTTTCTCTTCTCCTTAGAACCTTGTTTCCTTTGGGCATCAGAACTCAAACCATGTAGTCCGTACTAGGACAACCTGTCCTTTTTATTGTCAGTTCCCTCCTGTAGATGTCACTCTAATATAGTTAGGTACAGGAATGCTCAGTGTACTGCCGTGGCATGTGTGCATCTATTCCTTCTTTGTCGTTTTCATTGTAAGACTTGGCTCTTATATCCTAGTCACTTGAATAGGCATCTTTCTCTGTGTCTCCTAAGGTTTGAGTCTTTTGATGCCACAGAAAGTTTTATGATTTGTATTCAGTGGATTCACGTATTCTTTGGATTTTATCAGAATTCAAAGCATGAGTTTGTTTTGTTTGTAGGACCAGAAAACTCCTTATGGCTCATCGCCAAGTTAGTGTCAGTGATTGCTTCTGAATCCATGGCCCTTACTCAGTGGTTTTCTCTTAGACCTTGGGAGCTCTTCCTTAGTATTTCTTGAAACCCCATGATAATGTAGGGGAAAAAATGTTAAATGTCTACTATGTTTTTAAATGTGTGATTTTTTTAAATCCACAAACAAAACAACCCCCCAAACCTTATAAAATGATTATTCCCATTTTGCAATGAAGACATTTAATTCTGGAGGTTAACAGACTTGCTTATAGTCCCACTGGTGGAGCTAAGATATAAACCTAGGTCTTCGACCCTCAGTCCAATGTTCTTTCCCTTCAGCGGGCTCTCTGAACAAGCATCAGTCATCTTGAAAAGATATTGACTGCTGATCCTCTTGGACTCAGTTGTAGTTGTCTGCTGCTTCAGTCTTCCGTGTTGGCCCTGCTGGCTTATCACAGCTGCAGGACCTGGCTTCTCCGTCTCCTGGACCCCAGAAGTCTCACTTGGTTTAAACCTGGAATCTAGCTTTGTTGTGCTCCCCTGGCCTGTGAGAAAAGAGGAACCACCACCATTGTTGTTAGTAATGCAGTATGGGCCAGGCTCTGTTTGGCTCTCTGAACACAGTCTCATGAAATTTTCTTAGTAATGTAGTGGTATTATGCTTATTTTACAGATGAATAAATATAGGCTTAGAGAGCCATTTACTCCAAGTATGGGAAGTGCTTCTTCAAAAGCTAGGCAAGTACATCAGATGTATCTTTAGCGTGTACACTTAGCCTGAGAAGTACAGGCAAGTTCAGCTGGGTCTGTTCCTCCTAACACTGGTAATTGTTTATAAATTCTAATTGTTGATGTGACCAGAATATCTTCGCAGGAAGGCTTGGTAGGTAGGTGCCTTAATTGTTTTGGAGTAGCATGTAGTGTGAGTGAACAAGTTTCGTCCAATTAAGCCCAAATTGGAGGAAGAAAGGAAACAAACAAAACTTTTTGCTGCTTTTCTCCCAGTTCTGACACTGTCAGTTGAATAAGCCCAGAGAAAGTCCTGCTGGTCCGTGTCCACACCCTTGTTACTGCCAGTAGTCCAGTGACTGCTACTAGAAGCCCTGGAGAAGATATGTTTTCCACATTAGCGGTGGGAACACAGGCTTCTTCAGACAGAGCTGTGCATACTGGGGAGGTTTTACTTGGTATGTAGGACCTCCTCCTCCCGTAAATACCTTTGGATGTATTTCCAGCAATTGCCACTATCCCTGTGAAAGAGAACAAAGTAGATCAAGTATTTAGACTGATTTATTTGTCTTAATTTTATTTATTTTTTTATTTTACCCTGATTTTTTTTTTTTTAGTATATGTGCTGCTGAAGCGAGCACAATTTTCCCCTGATTTTTAAAAATGTTGCTCTGCCCATTGCTGAGTCAGCCACATTGATAGATACTTTTTGAACATGAGATCTGTTTCTTATGTGCCAGACTCTGAGTTTCTACCTCCAGGTACTAGGCTGCTGTCAGTGTCCTGCTTCTTTGGGATTGCACAGATGCCTATTGTTTGGGATTCTAATGCTGGCCTGTTCTTGGGTAGATTTGACACTTGAAACCTTGGATGCTCTTTCTTTTTTTTGTTTATAGTTCTTGGGTCCCAAGATTATGTTCCCTTGTCTACGCACCTATTTTTAGCTGGACTTTTTTGCCAATACTGTGCCTTTGCCTAGATTCTTAGTCCTGGAACTTTTCTAATTTATTTTCCTTCTGCTCAAACCCTTAGGGTTTTTGAAATGCAGGAGGATATCACTTAGAGTCATTAAAATGCTTTTCTGTTTGATAAGATCAGTTTCCAAATCTTAACATCCATAATTTTCAGGTACTCTGTTGATTTTCTCTGTGTGCTGTTCTTTTCATTTCTTTGTGAAGTTTCAGGCAGTCTAAAAATTTGCTGACTCATTCGTATATTAACTAGGATGATGTTGTAGAGTTTTCATTGATTTAGCTATGATTCATTAAATATTTACTGTGTATTTTAGTGACATCAGCAAGTTGAAGAAGTTAATATTTAAGCCATAGTTGTGAAGATTTAATTTATCGATCTTGACTTTTCTCAAAGTCTTTCAGTGCCCACTGTATGCAAAATATTTTCCATGGCCCTTTAGGAAATCTAAAAATGCGTGCTAAGTGGGATAAGACTTAGGGAAATGGCTATAATATAAAAGTAGAAAGGGGATGAGAGGTACAGACAAATATAGGAGTGCTAGTGACTTATGCTTATAGTTTATACTGTCAAAGCCGATAGTTGCGATATAGGTGATGATGATAGTAGCTAATATTTATTGAATGAGCCTTACATACCAGGTATTGTTCTAATCATTTTATATCAATATTTCACCTAATTCTCACATGAGATAGAAAGTTACATAAACCCTATTTACATATGAGGGGACTAAGGCACCTAGCTGTTAAATCCCTTGCTCACAGTCATCCAGCTAGTAAGGAATAGACCTGGGATTTGAACCCAGATAGTCTTGTTTTCTCACCTGTGCTCCCAACCCCTGAATTGTACTGCTTCTGTATATGAGACCTTCCAAAGTCTAGTCCCATTCTCCCTCTGTGTCTTCATGTCTCTCCACTCTTCTCATTGAACCCTATCTGTGTTCTGGCCTTTTTGGACTTCTTACAATTCTTTGAACAGCACTCACTGCTTTTTCTTGCCTATGTGTCTTTACACCTGCTTTTTTGTCTTCTTGGAAAAGTTTTCTATCTCTGCCCTCTAAGACACCAGTCTCTCCCTTCCTCCCCACGATAGACTTGTCCTGTCTTCTTTGGCTAATCTGTTTAAAGGGATTTAAAGGATGGCACCTTCTACTGTTCTTGTCAGGTAGCACCACAAGTTTTGAAAACCCTTCCCTGACCTCCCAAGCATGGATTGGGTTTCTGCCCTCTGTGCTCCCCAAATATTTTACACTTAACTTTACATTAGCTCCTAACATACTGAATCTTAATTGATAGTTTAAGTATTAGACTGAGCTTGAGACTGGTGGCTTAATTTCTTATCTCAGCACTTAGCGTAGTCACCTGTTTGGTGAATGAATGCCTAGTGGAACTTTAGAGATATAAGTCAAATGCAGCTGAACTGAAAGTCCATATTTGAGGAGCTATAAAGTGATCTTGTTATTTTGGAGCTATGTAAAAACCGTCAAGGGACTTTTCAGAGTCTTCAAAGATGAGTCACCACTTCATTAAATTACTTGTGAAGAGGCAGGTTTAGTAATTCAGGTTCCTTGATTAGTTCTTAATCTTATGTAAGAGAGAATACTTGTTTTTGTTTAATTTTGACTGGAAGCGTTTTTTTTTTTTTTCTCTCTCTTCTGTTCAGGCCATTAATCATTAAGTGTTTTTAACCTTCGCTCTTGAGTGGAGCCTATAAAATCTCATGGGTACACAAGAAACTAGGTCCTGTTGGGTACCTGGTATAATCAGTTTGTTTTTGAACCTTCTGCCTGGAAGTCTAAAAAGAACTTCAGTATGTCCAAAATCTTTATCCATTTCCCCTTTACATTGTCTAGCTAACTATAATCTGGAAACTTGGGGGTCATTATTGATACCTTCATCTCTCATTTCCTTCATTGGGTCATCTCTAAGCCTGGCCCACTTCGATTATTCCATGTCTCTTAAATGCATCCACTTTTCCAACATCTCCCCTGTTAACCACTGCAGACCCTGCTATCAATATGTCTTGTCTATAATATTGCAATAATTTATCTCCCTGTACCCATTCTGGGTCCCCTCTAATCTCTTCTTGACCAAACAACAAGAATGATCTTTGATATCTCAACACTGATCATTTATTTTTGGAGTGGGGTGGGGGGTAGGCGTGGTTATAAAAAGGCAACAGGAGAGATCTTTGCAGTGATGCTGTTCTGTATCTTGTATCCATGCTGATATCCTGATTGTGATATTGTACCACAGCTTTGCAAGACGTTACCATTGGGGAAAGTGGATAAGGGGTTCACAGGCTTTCTCTGTTATTTCTTGCAACTGCCTCAATAAAATTTCAGTAAAAACATTATTTTTCTATTTAAAACTCTTCAGTGCTGTCTTCTTCCTTTTAGGTAAAGACTAAACTCCTTACTGTTGTCCTCTGCACCGTGTCATCACCTGGCTTACTGTCTCTGGCCATGTTCATTCAATACCAGTTTCCCACTAGCTGTCTGTTCCAGATGCACTGACCTTCTCTCACTGTCTTCAGCATGCCGGGTTCTTCACTTACAGCCTTCCTATTCACTCACTTCTATCCGAAATATCATTCTTAAATTCCTAGGTGAATTCCTTCTCATCCTTTGTATATCAGCTTCAGTTTTCACTTCTTAATGAGAAGCCTTTACTGATCCTCCAGAATACCTGGTATTTTTTCTTTTTAGCAATCATTGTAGTGTGTATACATTCATATTTGCGTGGTTCTTTAATTCATATCTGTCTCTTCCACTAGACTCTTTATCTCTGTATTTATCCCCAGCATCCAATACACTGAGTAAACAGAACACATAAGACATGAAAGATAGTCTTTCTCTCAGCCATTGTTCTTTTATTGGAATCTAAGAAGCACCTGAGATACTTAGAATAGGTAGGTCCTAATCTAGATACCTTGCTGCCTTTCCAGACCATGAGTATGAGATTCTCATGAATTGCCTAAAAATGAACCTCTTGCAGGTTACAGAGGCATTTTTAGAGAAGGGATAGGATATGGTTGAGCAAGATGAGTTAGTGCACTTGACCTGATGACTGAATCTACGCAGAGCCATCCTAGGCCCTGGACTGCCTGTCTGTGAGAGATGGCCAGCCTTGGATTTGTTGGGTATACGGAGTTCATATGAAGCTGAAATTCATTGGCCTTCTGAAGGGTCATAGCTCTTTTTATTGGCTTGGCAGAATTCTACGTTGTCACATTGAGTATTGGCCCACCAAAATTAGGTCCCAGCTATGTGAGTATGCTGTATGATTTGGTGACCAGGAATGGTCAGTGTTCTTAGTTGTGGACAATGGAATCCACACTAGCTGGTCTGAATAGAAAGAAGTATTGATTAGCATATATAATTTTTGTGTAAAAAATTTTTGGAAATGCTAGACAAATTAGCTTGGATCCGACATAGGCATAAGCAGTGCAACCAGGAGAAATGTACAACACCCAAGGACCAAGCAGAAGTGCCGTAGGCTGCTGCCTGCCGCAAAGTTAGAGATCAAACAGCAGAACCTTTGAAGTTCCTGCAGAAAAACCATATGCTTCCATGACTGTGTTTGACGTGAGCTGTGTGGCTTCCAAATTACAATGAGTCTCTTTGCTCTCCCAAGTCTTGTACAGGTGTGCCTGCCTGTTAGAAACTGCATCACATGTGGGACCTTAGCTACAAAGAAGTCCAAGAAATAGTCTAGCTTTCCATTCTCTAGCAGGGCTGCACAGCAGGATGTGAGTGGCGGGTGAGTGAGTGAAGCTTCATCTGTCTTTGCAGCCGCTCCCCAGCGCTAGCATCACCACCTTAGCTCCACCTCAGATCATCAGGCATTAGATTCTCATAAGAGCACTGGGCCTGGTGCCAGAAATGTTGGGGACCACTGCTCTAGGGTGCAGGAAAGGATGCTATAACCTGGTATTATTATGTAAGCTAATGTGTGTTGTCTTCCATAGCAGGTTAAAGGCTGACAATTACAGACAGACCTCATTGGTCAATAAATGTTTTATTTGAGTCTAGTGCAAATGGTTAAGCTTCATATACTACCTGTTAAGAACTTAACATGGAACATAAAACATGAAATAGGATAATGATGTTCTTTTAGATTTTCAAGTGGTGGATTTTGTGCCGATTTATGTACATTATAGATGTACATGGTTTTGCATAATACCTGTATATTGCATATTCATTCATGGAGTGTTATTGAAAGCACCAGATATGGGCTGTCCCATACTGTACTACCAGCTAGTAAAACAAAGGAGAGTAAGACAGTCTGTATTTAGGAAGCTCACAGACTTGGTGCGGTAGTGTTTTTCCATAGAAATGTGTATTAAAATTAACCCCTGAAGTGAAAAAAATATAAACGTGGCTCTCTACATTTCCATATTTACTATCTGCCACATGCACCAGCATGAAGTTCCCAAATGAACGAGTTAGAGTCCAGGAACTCGCATTTTTAGCAGACTTTCCTGTTGATTCTTAAGCAGTCTCCCTTGGCAAAGAACTACTGGTCTCGTGGGTCATTAGTAGCCATTTTGTTTTATGCAGTTGAAAACTTGGGACTATGTTTCAGTTTGCAAGTTATTTCGCACTTTGTCCATTTGCTTTAAAGTTTTAAAAATGCATGCTTGTTTTACAGGGGCGGAGTTACCAGGGCAAGTTATCTCCATGGCAGCTTCTACTCTAGCAACCTTGGCCATCTCTATCACAGGGTATGAATCAAGCACTGAAGACCGGTCCTCGACTCAGCCTGCAGGTGACTGACCTTGTGAAAGAATGCCTTCAAAATCATTCTGGAAAACGAAATATACTTAGAATATAAAATTAAGACAGACGCTAGCATCAAAATGCTGCTTACTCGTCCTTCATTTTTCTCTGATTCCTATTTTTATGCTTTTTCCCTCTCATCTTTGTTCTCATATATCACTTTTTCAGACATTTAATCATTTTCTTCCTTGGGTTTCTTGATTCTTCATTCTTTCCTTTTTTAAAAAAACTTTTCTTATTTTTTTGTTATTTCTCATTTTCCTTTCGTATTGTTTTCCTTTTCTCAGTACATTTACCTTTGTCCATGTTTCCCCCCACTTAATCCTTTTCGTATTTTCTATTTCTTCTACAACTGTCATTTCTCCTCCATTGTTCTAGTTTGCTCTAACTTTTTATGTTGCTTTTTTGTTATTATTCCTTTTATCCAAATATGTGTTTTTGCTTTTATTTTCCATCTTCTAGCCATGTATTTCTCTGGCATCTTACTTTCATTCTCAAAGTTTGCTTTGCATGCCTCATGCTGTTAATATATTGATGGTTTCCCTTAAAACAGACCCCTCTGGTTGTTTTGGAGTCAGTGCTCCTGTGGGATCCAGCTGGTAGACTTATTTCAGCTTTAAAGTCACTGTACTCACGCAGCGTTCAGAAATGTAAAAGCCATCTCTGCCTGTGCCAGGTCAGTTAGTGCCAGAGGTTTTGGAGTTAAGGAATATTTTGGGTGAGAACTGACTTTAGAGAAGTCTTAAAGGAAGGAATTAGCTAAGAAAAAGGCATTTGGGGTAATAGGACAACTTATTTTTCTTGTACATTGAATCATGTTTTCAAAGTGTAGAGGGGATGATATTTTGGTTATGGACTTATTCTTCTAAATGTCTGTAGCATCCACCAACATGAAGTTTCCAAATTATAGAGATACTCAGCAACAGCAAACAGAAGCTTATTATAACTAGCTTGGGCTTTAGCTTCAGACCTCAAGGTAGAATGCGGGTTCTGGTGAGGTAGGCAGACTTACCATGGTGCTAGTTATAGCAGTAGTAAAAATTTACGGCTAAATAGTTAATGTTAAAAGGAAAACTAAGGAAGTTATGATGCAGCACTCAGAGAGCTATACTGTGTAGTTGCTTATGAAAATTTTGAAATAATGGGGAAGGCATTTTTTCAGCAGATATTTAGTGAGCACCTACTGTATGTCAGGTACTATTATTCCATGTGCTAGGAATTCACTGGAGGGAGAACAAGACAGACAAGGTCTTAGCTCTCCTGGAGCTGACATTCAAGTGAAGGGAGAAAATGGAGACGGGTAATGGGATACAACTGTGTAAAACTGTATAAAGACTATAGGGTAGATGGTGGTTGGGATTGTGGATGCTCTTGTTTTTTTCTCTTTTTTCTAAACTTTCCAAAATATGATATACTTTTGTCATTAATTTTTATTTATGGAAGGCAAAATGCAAGTTCTAGAATCTTACTCATTTCAATCATTACAGTATATACTGAGTAATATTGATTTAATAGTTATATGAGTTTTGATACATATACTATGTTTTGGTGAAACTAGGAGATAGAAATAGTATAACCCTATATTAAAATGTAACAGTTGCATTGTCAGAGAACAGTGCTTTATGTGAAATAAGTATGATTTCTTTGATTTGAGAATTCTTCACCCTCAGCAGTCTTGTTTTATGTATCATTGTAAGAGAAAGACATGTTTCAAAGCCCTGGGTTTTTCTTGTAAGAGCAGTTAGCTCCATTTTAGGTGAAATAACAATGAAAAGCCATATTGTGTCAGAAATATTTATATTGTTGTTATTATTTTTGTTATTATTTTTTTTAGACGAGGCAACTCTTGATTGACCTCACAGATTGCAAAGACCTTGTCAGCTTTTTATTTTTTACGCTTACAGCACCTGGTAGAAATATATATAAATACATCTAATATAAAGTTATATTAAAAAGGAGGAATTTTTAAATGTAGGAATTTTATTTTATGTTAATGTTTGTTGCTTTATATGGTTTGAATAATTTTCATGGACTAATAATTCTCAGCTATTTTGTTATATAGTTTTTTTAAGTTTTTTGTTTACATGATAAATGTATATTAATAATGATATATGTCATAAAAAACTTGAACAGTATAAAGTACATAAAATAAAAGCTAAAAAATTCACTGTACCTAATCCTACCCCCAACAAACTTAATTTCCCTAAATTTAAACACTGTTAGCATTGTTAATTCTCCACACATTTTTCAGTACATTATGAAAACATGCATCCAAATCTTTTTTCTTTTTTAACCCAATGTAATCATACTACGAAGGCTTAAAATAGAGTATCTTAACGAATTACTCTGTATGACTGTTGACTAATGTCGACTAAGGCGGTGGGCGATGTTTTCTCTTTCCTTCTTCAGAAACCATGGACAGAGGAGAACCCCCTGCAACAGTATCCTCATCTCCTTCCCCCTCCTCCCCCTCCCCTTCTCTGGGAAGACAAAAGTCTGAAGTCGGAACATTTCTTAGGAAGAAGAAAACCAGCGATACCTACTTTGTGTCTCTCCTTTGGGCCATCATTGGAGTCCAGATCTGGCTAAACCTGTGGATTGTGCAGTTGCTGCCAGTGCCTGTTGCAGGTAATTGGTTAGTTATGATCTTGTCTTTGAAGACTTCTTTTTACTTTTGGGTTTTAATGCTTGGGATAATTTTGCTCTTAAAATAAAACAGTATGTTAGCATTTAAATGATAAACATTTTGGAAATTTATTACTTGATACCTCTTTAATATTTCACTTTGAAGCTCAAAAATATATTTATCCTCTTACAATTTTTGTGTACTATAGACTAATAGTTCCACATGGAGAGTTGACTGTTGAGCCATCCATGATTCTGTGGAAGAGAATGTCAATCTGGGTTTTGGGGTTTATGACGGAATATTGAGAGCTGGTCTTAGTGAAATGCATTTTATACTGCATTTTTAATTAAAAGAAAATGCAGATTTTGAGAAATATATGTGTGCAAAATCTTGATTTTTTTTTCTTGTATTTGACAGAAAATTAAATGACGTGTATATATCATGTTTTATGTAAAAAAGGAATCGTACAGCTTTTTATAAATCATTAAACTGGGGCTTTGTACCTGCATACCATGGTAATTCGAGGCCCACCTCTATTACTTTGATTTTCTCTAAAGGTGTCTTCTATTACTGACAAGAGTAAGGAACAGTTTTCTCTGGCTCAGATGCATTGTAGAAGATCTTTTATGCTTTTCTGGTAGTTTGGGCTTTCTTCTTATAGTCACAGTTTATGTCAAATTTATTAAGTCCTCAGTCGATGCTTAGAATCCTACCATCCGGTTACCTCCTGAATTTGATTAGTCCTTGTCTCTGTTATCAGGTTTTTTTTCCTATGATTTAAAAGTCATCTGATTTATGGAAATCTGTTCTCTCATAGTCTCAAAGTCTAAACTTATTGGACCATTTACCTTCTAGATCATTCATTGTCAAACTTATTCTCATTGAATTGGACAGTTAATTAAATAGTTACCATTCCTTTAAAGGTTTGTTATGACAAGAACTGTATAGTGCCTGTCCTTAGGGAACATGAAATATAAATGGTTGAAGTTTGTGTCTGCATCTGGCATCCTCAAGCAGAACTTCTGTTTGGCACTTGGAGCAAGGACTGTTGTAATTAAGCCAGTCACAGAGCACATACCACAGCCATAGAAATGCTTAGTGAAACAATTTAAATTGTTCTTCTGGGTGGTTTCATACCTTTTTTTTTGTTTTTTCCAGGTAATTTTTTTATGTTGGCAAATCATGTGCCGGGTGCTGTTGGAACACTTTTTTCCTTAAGGTTGCAGGCAGGAGTTACGTTTGTCCTAGTCATTTCTTAACCCTCGGGCCATCATAGGAATTTGACATGGCCCGTGTGAACAGGTGTGGCCCCCAAAAGGTTTTCTACAGTTTATAAATACTCTGGGCTTACTCTAGAGACTATAGAAGTTTTCCTAGGACCTCTCTAGAGATTTAAAAATGCTAATGAATTTTCGAACTGGTATGAACACTGAGCTCATGGTGCAAAATAGTAAACTGTGAAGCATTTGCTTATAAGGCCAGGGCTAAGGACACAGAAATCTCTGGAGTTAGGGCAATTGTTGTGGTCGGGTCAATTATCCCGGGTCCAGACTCAAGGCAACCTTCACAGATGAGTGACATTTCCTTCTAGTCCCACCACCTTCTTAGTTGGCCTTTACCTCTCCTGGAAGAGCTGCCACACTACCCAGTAGCAGAGTAAAACATTCACATTGTGGTCTGTGAACAGTCCCCGTTGAAGTTGTGCAGAGCCCATCCTCGGGCCATTTGTAACAGCCCACTTGTACCCAGTCTGCTTCTCTACTGAATCCTGGTAAAATATTCATACGTATAGAGCAACATCAAGCAGAGAAATAGGAACACAAATGAAAATGTCTGTGGTAGTATAAAATCATGATGACACATATAGAATACCTTTATTTTTCTGGTCACGAAACATTAAAAAATCTAAGGAAAAGAACAGAATTTGTCAGTAGCAGCTATAATATCCAAGGAGATTAGGACATGTCAGGGGCTAGTATTTTTCACCCTGGAGGGGGTGTGAGTGGCGAAGGTTGTAGTCACTGAAATCTTCATGATCATAGTATCTTATGTTTGCATAGGCTATAAAAGAATCCCTGACTACTTTAGGGAGTCAGACTCCACAAAGAAGGTAATCTATGGGCAGATGGGGCTCATGTGATAAGTTATTTGTCCCAATACCATCAACTTGGAATACCTTGAACTTTCTTCTCTCCTCTTTCCTTTTTAAAAAATTGATCCTTATTTCAATACTTGCTTTTCTGCTTTAGAAAGATCACATGAAACTAAGGGACCTTTTCACATTTTCACTTTGTAATCTAGATTTTGATTATATATGTGTTTCTTCTTTATAGTCTGGATACTCAAGAAGCTTGTTATTCATTTTGGAGTTGTGAACTTCCTGGAGAAACGCTGCTATGCATGGTGGCAGGTCGTAGAGCACTTCCTGAAGGAACGGCAGGAAGCTCTGGCACCGTGGCCAATTATTGGGCTTGGAAAATTCTTGTTAAAAGTTGATAGCAAGGTATTGTATTTTAAGAACTTGGGCTGTTTTAATGGAGTTTATATATTTCATTGTTTTATTCCATAGTATTTGCTGTTTGTACTGTAATTGTTGATAACACATTTAAAATCTAATTCTGTGATGAAATTTAAAGTTAGAATTAAGATATATATAAGGGTAGGATATATTTAGTTTAAATAAATATTGTGTAAGTAGTTTTTCCTTTTAAAAAATGAGAGAAAAGGATCTTATGGAACACCTAGTTCAATTCCCTCATTTTATAAGGACCAAATTGAAATCCAGAGGGATTAAGTGACTAAAATTATATAGCCAGGTAGTGGCTCAGTTCAGTGAATATTTTTGGAGTAATTACTCTGTGTCGGAGTCTGTGATAAGTCCTGGGGGAATCAGACGAACTACAGAAAACTAAATGCAGAAGCTCTGTTTAGGGAGAGACAGCAATCCGTTAAAATTCAGAGGCAGTGGTTGGATTTAGAGACTTAGTGGTTAAGGGCATGGGCTCTGAATCCAAATTCTGGTTTCAAATTCCAGTTCAGCTACTTATTAGCTGTGCGACCTTGGATGAGTTTCTTAACCTTTCTGTGCCTTAGTTTCCTTATCAATACAATTGAGTATAAGAACATGTACCTCATAGAATGGTTGTGAGGTTTAAATGAATTAATATATGTACAATTCCTACAATAGGGCCTGGTACACAGTAAGCCCTTTATATAAGTGTTAGCTGTTATTATAATGCGGAGGAAAAGTATGTACAGGATCCAGTGGTAGTACTGAGCAAGAAATGACTCGCTGTTGGCAAGGCAGTGGGAGAGGGGAGGTTTTGCAGAGGAGGAAAAGTTTGAAGTAGAAGTAGGAGGTTATTAGGTACGCTTGGCAAGAAGGGCAGGTAGAGGGAGCAGTGCAAAGGCACAGAGACTTCCACACCATGAATTCTCAGGGAACGCTAAAAAATGGTCATGGCTGGGATATATGAAATGGTAGGTAAGTCTGGGGGGTCAGGTGAGACTGGATCGAGAAGTTCTGTTTGTGTGTTGTGCTGTGCAAGCTGGACTTCATCATGGAGGCTGGTAACTGTTTACTTTAACAGCATTGCTTTAACTGTCCATTCGTGACTTAAGGTTCAGAAATACTGTTAGGTGAAACCAATGTAGATATAGATGAGAATGTAATTGGAGTGCATGTGGGGAGAAGGAGATAAATCTTTTAACTCATAATAAAATATCCTGGGTTAAAGGAGAAGCAGAAAGTACATTTTCTTACATATTGTTTATCTTCCAGAAAGTTTGCCAGTTTTAATTCCCACCAGTGCAACATATGAGAACAGCCATTTCCTTGAGCTCTTGCCAATACTGGATATTATAATGTAACAAAATATAAAAAGAAGTATCTCAGTGTTGTTTTAATCTGAAATTTTTAAAAATAAAAATAAGGTTGACTATCCTTTTGCATGTTAATTAGCTGTTTTTATTTTTCTTTTGAAATTTGTCTATTTGTATTCTTATTAATTTTTTTCGACTTTTTAAATAAGAATCTAAGACTGCACAAATTTCAACATATTTATTACATCTCTGTGGTACTGGGGTGAAGCTTTATCTTACTAGAGCAGATTTAGCTCTTCAAACTATGCAAAGAGGGAAACTCTTATTTCCAGGTAATTTCTTTGTCTTACCGCTGTCAGAAAGGGTGGAGACCGACTCCTGTTTTCAGCGTTCTCATGTACTTGTATTTGAATTCTTCATTTAGGAAAACTGTACGGTCGTGTCAGTTGAAGTTCCAGGGACATCAAAAAGTATTTGTTACGAAGTAGCCTTGTAAAATTTTGTCATTTTTATTCTGATTTGTTTATCAATCTGTTCTTAAGGAAGAGAGGCAGGAAAATGAATAAAACAAGCATTTTCTGCTATAGGACAGCATATATCAGAATCAGTGGCTGTCATAAACTGAATATTTTGTTAATTACAATTGATGCCAAAATTATGTTCTGTCTAGTATAATAATATATTTGGGCTGCTGCTTTGAGGAATAGATCTATTTTTCATGTTTCTATTTTAATTGATTGGAACAGTGGTTTTGAAATGATCCATCTATAGGACATTGTTTAAAGTGTGTATCTAAACATGCATTGGGTATACTTTAGGGAAATCTAAAGAGTATTTACAGTCACTTTAATGAAATTATGCTTATTAGCCATTTATACATTTTTATTACTAAAGTTGCCTTAAGTTCTATGTTTACCAATTTTTAGATTACGTGTTCACTAACTAGCATTAATTAGTATTATAGTGTTAAATATTGTGAGGTTTAGCTGTGGCACATTTATGTGAAAACAAGATATTATATACTGTAGTGCCTAAAAAGTTGGCAAGGAAGGAAATATACCAGATATTTAACAGAATCTTAGATATGCCTGCTTTTTGGCCATGAGCCCTCTGTTCCAAATGAGCACTAAAATGTTTTACTCTTTAAAAAATGTGAAATAACTAACACTATAAAGCAGCAACTACAAAGTTCAATGAAAATATAGTACATGAACATGAATTAGTTTATACAGGTACTAAAAATCCTTTTGGTACATGATATATTAAAGGATTCTTATTATTACTCTGATCTTTGGAATTTAGCGTGATTATTTATGCTTACAAGCTTTCAGGTTATTTTATGTATTTTTAGTTGTTGAACTGCCAGCAAAGCTTGTACTTATCATCACTATAATCATTGTAAATTTAAAGGAACATTACATTCACTCAATTTAAAAACTTTGTGACTGCATTACAGTTTTTTTTTTTTTTTTTGTAGTTTTTCTTTTGTCTGGGGTAATTTCCTCCTCATGCTCTCAGTGACTTTCTTTTCTTTTCATACTATTATTGCATTCTCTAATGATATTCCACTGTTCTTATCTTCTCTTTCTCATCTTACCCCCTATCCTCAAGCTCTGGCACTGGCTAAATAAGAAGGTAAATGAACACACGGATGTTGGTTTTTACTATTTAATTCTGTAACTTCTCCCTGTATTTCCATTCTCACTCTGTTTCTGTCCATATGTCAAATTAAGTTTTTGTTATTAAAGTTCTAATTATAAGCTATGGAAGGTCATGAAGTATTAATACTGTCACAGTACAATTTGCTAAAAACCCAAAGCCATTTTATTTAGGATATGGGTGTTATCTCCTTGTTCAAGTGTGTGTGAAGTTCTGCCTTGTAGTCCTTTTGTCCACTCCTTGTTAGCGCTATAAAGTGGCTCATCCTGGTCCTCCAGTCTCCTTTGGTGTGTGAGAATATATAGGCAATAGTTCCCGAAAAGGAAAGCGAATTCTTTATTTTGCTAATTTTTCTATAAATGACAAAGGATTTTTTCAAAAAGGTAAATCTGTGAAATATTTGTGTGATCCCTAGGCTGATAATTTTATATGTCTTTTTTAATAACTAGAATTTAAAAATTTTAATTTTTCTATAAATGACACAGGATTTTTTCAAAAGGTAAATCTGTGAAATATTTGTGTGATCCCCAGGCTGATAATTTTATATGTCTTTTTTAATAACTAGAATTTAAAAAAGTTTGTAGTCATGGCTTGTGACATCTAATTTAATAATTTCCCGAGATATGAGGTTGTGTCTATGGTAAATGATTCACATGATTTGATTAAAATTATATTAGGTACATTTTTAATAACTTCAATAAAGGGTTGTTTATATATATTTATACCTCTGTATAAGTTTGTAACAGACTATATGTCATTGTCGTACCTTTGACATATAGTCTGCATACAGTAGTTCTAGATTTAATTTCATCAAACCTTGGGACAGATAGCAAAAGATGACATCATTTATGTGTATTGTGTTTAAACATAATAAGACTAAAATTTTTCAGGGGAAATACTATTGCAGGCTTTAAGAAAGATGTGATACTCGGAGATAGATCCAAATGACACTTTTGAGTTTTGAGATGAGGATTTCATTTTGTTGAAACAGGAAAAGGGAGACTTGGCGGTGCCTAAAGTTTTAAACTTTGGGTTGAAAATAAACTAAAATAAGTAAGTAGACAGATACAAACACATACACAAAAGTGAGGTTGTATATACTTCCATTTCCTACAAAAGTAGCATAAGTAAATGAGTTCAGTCCTAGGTAGATGATAGTGGTGCAAACATGTGTCACATTTTCTTCTTTTGGTGAGTGAGAGAGAGAGAGAGAGAGAGAGAGAGAGAGAGAATTCATATTGTCCTCAAGAGATGAAAAGAGCTAAAGTCATTAGGTTTGATTTGATTTAAGACTGAGTTAGATTAACTAATTTATGACCTTAATTCACAGCTGACTTAGAAAGCACTGGTGTAGATGGAGTAACCACTTGGAGTTCTGGGAGTGCGCGCTTTAGTGAAGCACATAAATAAGTTGAAGACTTTTATTACATTACATCCAAAGTCAGAAAACTGCAGCATTGGGTATTTGTTATGCCAAGTTCAAGTGAGGTGAATTAGGAAACCGAAAAGAAGTGAGAGTGAGAGAGAATGCATGTTATGGTTAATTGAAATGCAGCCTTAATTGTTTTATTTCTTAATATTGATTATATGCACTAAGATTCAACTAGAATTTAGTTTAAAAAAACGAAGCAAAATAAAAACTTACAGGGTCCAGATTAATGAAATAGAAAACTCAGTAGTGGCACGACACTATTTTTAATAGCTTGATAAATAAGGGCAGAGAGTTTATAAATTTGAGTATCTTTTGGTATAACTATAAATTTAACAACATCTCAATCTTTGAACTTAAAATCCCAATGTCATTAAAAATTTTTTCCCCTTCCCCTTTTAGAAACTAGAGTTTAAAAACTAAAATAAATTCTCACAGCAAGAAAGACTGGGGAAATTTTAGGGACTGTGTGATTCCCACGAGCAGGGCAGTGAAGACAGGTGGTGTGGGTTTTTTTGCCCAAAGCAGAGCGTGGGGCGGGGTCAGCCTCCTGGGGCAGCACCTCCTGCATTTCTTCAGGATTCTCTCCTCCATCTCCTTCCCCTTCTCCATTGCTTCCTCTGTCCGTGTTTCTCTTTCTACGTCTGTGAGTTTCTGTTTCCTTGTGAGTTCCATTCACTCAGGGAGTTCTTTTCCTCCCTGTAAGTTCTCTGTCCATTTTGTTTTTTGTCCTCTTTTGATTCTTAGTTCTATGCACCAACTCCCCCTCCCCAGACTTTTTTCTTCTTACTTTTTCTATCTCCCTTTATATTTTAATAAGTCGTACCCTGTCCACCTTTCCCACTCTTCTCTGTTTTTGTCCTGTTTTTTTTTTTTCACCTTATCTTAGTCATAAAGTGAGTAGGACCCCCCCACACACACACAACTTTTTTTATCTTATGTATTGAGCATCTTAAGTGATTTTATTTATTTTAAATTTTGAATAAAACATCTAATCCTCACTGTTATCCTTAAATAAATTTTTATTTAGGTGACTCTTAGTGTGGATTTTTTCCCAACTCTTAATTACACAGCTGGTGATAGGAAAATTCTACCCTGGTTTAAAAACATAAAGTTTGATTTTGTAATGTTGATGTATATAATGTGTTTGTGACTATTCCATGTTTTATATGTTAAAAATACCCAGACATAAATTTATGCTTTCTAATAGAACATCATTTATGTTAAAAATATATATTTCAGGATATGATTTCTCTAAAAAAAATTGAGGCTCCCTGTTATTTTCAGAAATTGTAAATTGTGAATATAATCTGGTTTTAATTCTGAAGTTATTTATGCTTGCCTGTTCAGATACCTATTAACTGAGCTTTTACCACGTGCCATGCACTGTTACGTTTTGGAGCTACCATGAGGGGTAATGCAATACCAGCCCTTTCTTCAATTAGCTGTCTCAGGAACTCGGTGTAGAGTTGATTTCTGATGGTGAAACTCATTTTATTGATTTTAGAACTTACATTCAAAATATGACATCTGACCTTCCATATCTTAGATATCTGTTATTATTATTTTCTTTATCTCTGCATTGTCGTCAATGCTTTGGTAGCATGCACTGAAAATTAACTCCTTTTTGAAGCTATAACTGTTAAGACAAAAGGTGAACTTTTTATCTTTGAGTTTACTATAGTGTTGATCTCTTAGTTGCAGTGTCCTTCATGAAAGATCAGGGGGATACAAGTTTATAAGCCTTGAGTGGAAAATAAATGTTTTAGAAGTCATGTTTTTTTTTTAACCACCATTCTTTGCTTTGGGGTGTTTAATTCACTGTTCGGAGAGCATAATTCAGATTTAAGAATACCTTATTCAGCAGTGCATTAGCTCATGTTAGGGTTGAGGGATGCAAGTGTATTTCAGTAGTCATCAATCTGATTGTATTTTCAAAATGTTAAATGGTAGCTTTGCATGGCAGGAATTCTGTAAATCTATAAGAATGATATATTCTGAAAATAAATTTTTTTTATATGTAGGAGTGCATATGATTTTGAAAAATGAGAGAAGTTATACTCAAAATAGAATGTCAAGTAGCCTTTAGGGAGAGCATAATTTTAATTATTGATTAAGGAATAACCACTACATTAATGATTTTTTATTTGCATTCAATTATAATTCGTCATAAAGCTTATGTTTTTTAAAATAGAAATTTCAAGTCAAATGTCAGATTTTTAAGAGTATTTTATTGTGAATTTCAAATATAAAAAGATATGGAGATACTCATATGCCTATCCTTTAGCTTGAATAAACATTACTTATATAATTGAAGCCCATTTTGTATCCTTTCCTGATCCTTTTCCCACCCAGAGTAACTGTTATTCTGAAATTGGTATTTATCGTTACCTTACCATTAGATTTTTATTACTGTGGTTTTTGTAACCCTAATGACATTAAAGGGAAAAATATATTGAATGTAATTCCTATTTTAATTTACTTCTATTTTATCTTTATATAACTTAGGACATTTTTATAATAGCATACTTTTTCTAAAGTCATCTATATTTGCTAATTGACAATAAATTTCACAAGATTTGAGGTCAGCTAATGGATTGTTATTATTTTGTTTAGTAATATACCAGATTATAATTTATAATTTATATTGTAAATATACTACAGTATGAGAATTCAAACATAGACGTAGGTTATGTTCAAATTGACTGCCTTTTCTTAGGTATGACAATAATAAACTATATAACAACAGCAATTAATAGCGTTAGTTAACTTTCTGAAGTCGCTTACAGCTTTCACTGCTTTATTTTATAGTTTGCTTTGCAATGCTGAATATCCTGTTTTGTCCTCATATTTGAATGTATATTGAATGTTTTTATTAAGTTGTACTTTACAGATAATAATTCTCTTTTTATTTCTGTGCAGATGATCATCTGGTTGGAGAAGATGTTAGACAAAATAATTAGCATTTTCATCATATTTTTGTTAGTGATAGGAACCCTTCTTCTAGCCCTACTCCTGACTGCAAAGGTATAGTACAATTCTAACTATTGCCATTAATAAACTCTTAATTGTTAGAATTGTAGAATGGATAAGAAGCTAGCAGAAGCAGCATAGAAAATGTCACTTTGCTTGTAAATATGTATAATAACTGAAGTATTTATCATTTTTGTGTTACTGATTTTGCCATGTATTTGCCTAGTATCTATTTTTAAAAGCATTTTTATTATCCTCAAAATTCTCAGCATAAATGCAGGTAAAAAAAATTGAGATGGAGGATCAAGTGGCTTCTTCTGTCAGTGGGAAACTATGATCTGGTGTCATGGCTCCTACTTGAGTTAGTGCCCTGTCAACTAGATCGGAAGTTTTGACTAGCTCCTTCCCTTGTCTCATTGGTCTTTCTGTTAACATACCATAGAATCTTTATTTCTCCCTCTCCAGGTCCTTTCAGCTTACATTTTCTCTCCCTCTTCTTGGTGTGGACTGCTATAACAGAATAGCATAGAAGAGATGGCTTAAACAACAAATCTTTATTTCTCACAGTTTCAAAGGCTGGAAGCCCCAGATCAGGAGCCAGCATGATTGAGTTCTTGGTGAAGGCCCTCATCCTGGTTTATAGCTGGCTGTCTTACTGCATTCTCACACGGCAGAGAGAAAGATCATCTCTTCTGTGCCCTTCTTATAAGGACACTAATCCCATTTGTGAAAGCTTCACCCTCATGACCTAATTACCTGCCAGAGGGCCCACCTTTTAACCATCACAGTGGAGGTTCGGTTTTCAACATCTGCATTTTGGGGGTGAGGTGGAATACAAACATTCAGTCCATAACGCCCCTCTTTCATCTCATCAAAGGAAATTATTCTCTAAAGTGCATCTAAAAGTTTATCTCTCCAGTGGTATCTCTTAACTGACTTGTTTTTCTGATATCTGTGGTGTATTTTAATCTTTAGTTTATCTGAACTTCGCTCAACTCCACATCCTAGGATTTGATAAGTTCTTGAGGAATCATGAAGCTTACATGAAATTGTGGAATGAAAAATTTTTATTTAGTGCTATAGAGATAGAGCAGTAACTGTTATTGATAGGTGATCTAATCTGGCACAATTTGCTTAAGGATTTCATTGTTTCTTGCTATGTCACTTCTCTACTTGGAAGTAAGTCCCTTTCTCAGTATTCGCAGCCTCAGTATGCCTTCAGTCTGCTCCTGAAAACCTGCTCTCTCGGTGCCTGTGTTTCCATCTCTATGCAGTTCTTATCTGTCCTTTGGTTATTAATCTTGTAATCTATTAGTCACATACAGACAATATAGACTTGTTTAGAGACCTTTCTTTATATTTGTCATGTTTCACCTAATCTTGCCACTGTACAATCTTACTTTTCATTCTAGTTCTTAGAGAAACCTCTCACCTGTATGGTCTTGCGGGTTTTTTTCCTTCTCTTTCTCCTCTCTCTCCTTTTCTTCTATTTCACTTTCTCTTCTTTGTCTCTTTTCATAGGGTCTTGCCTGCCTGTCTCAATTATGTTCATCTTTCAAGTCCTTTTTCTTTGTTCATTCTATTCAGTGAGCTTTTGCTTCCCCGAACTTTGATGACATGTTACTTAACCACTTTGTCATTTAGGACTCATGCAAACTGAGCTTTTGATGGAAACTTAACTGGTTATCTAGTTTATTCTCCTAGCCAATAAAGGGATTGTTCTCTAATACACCATGACATTGTCTACGTTAATGTCTAATAGACATCTCAAATATAACGTGTCAAAACTGAATTCCAGACCTTCCCTCACTTGTCTGTTCTTCTCATAGTTGCCCCCTTTCAGTAAATTACAACTCCATTTAACTTGCTTAGGCGAAAAGCCTCAGGCCCATTCTTGACTAGTTTCTTTCTTTTGTATCCATATCCTGTTTGTCAGAGGATCCTTTTTAGCTCCATCTTTCTAATACAGCTTAGGGTAATGGCAGAGTGAGGATGTCAGGTAATTGCCCTCTACAGAAAGCAAAAATAAAATGGTATAAAACTTTTGAAGACACCATATCAGGACATTGGAAAATGACCACTTAGGCAATAACTTGAGGAATATTTGCTCATGGAAAACTGCTACTGCACTTGGTAAAAATAGGTAGTTTGTGGCTTTCCTGTTTAGAGTTATTCTCCTCTTGCCTCGCTTGGGCTGCAGAAACTTGCAGCTTTTCTGTGGGAGGTGGTGGACTTGGTTTGGGGCTGGCAACAGAGTAGCTGTAAATTAAAGCGGGGAGAGTCTGGAAGCAAGAAAGCCGTAGAGGGGCTGAAATGAATAAACTACACATCTTAGACTGTTTGCCAAATTAGGCATGTGTACGGGAGACCCCAAGGAGTCCTGTAAATATTGAAAGTCTGGGGAGATTTGCAAATTTGCGCCTTTGATTGTATTTCTCAACTCTCACACATTCCAGGTTTCAAAGGAGGAAGCTTTCCTATGTGAAGTGTCTAAGAATAACTGCTGCCAAAATAATTTGCTGACTGCTAAGCTCTGCAGGTTCAGGGAAAATCCTTAAGGAGCCAGGCTTTAAAAAATAAAAGCACAGAGCAGAGACATCAGTGGCAGAGAAGACAGACTTTTTTTTTTTTTTTAAGTTTGATTACAGATAAGTTAATTGTTTACTGAAACAAAATAACAGTAGTTCTCAGAAGAAAAAAAACAATCCAGAGTTGCTGCAGTGTATTTTTAATGTTTCATTTTTAACCAAAAATTACTAGACATAGAAAGAAACGGAAGAATGTGTCTTATACTGGGGATTGGGGGACAGGAGGAGAACCAGTGGGAAAAAAGTAGACACTTAAGTGGCCCAGATGTAGCTGAAAAAGTCTTTGAAGTTGCTATTATAAATATTTTCAGGGAATTAATGAAAAATGTGTTAATAATGAGTGAACAAATGCAGACTCTCAGCAGAAAAATGGAGACTAAAAACAGAACCAAATAGTAATCCTAGGGCTGAAAAGAGCAATAACAAATGGAAAATTCACTAGATAGGTTCAACAGCAGGTCTGAGATCCAGAAAAAAAGAATTAGGAAACTTGAAGAAATATCAGTAGAAAAGATCTGATTTGGAGAACAAACAGATTTTTTAAATATTGGATGAGCAGAACATCAGATATCTGTGGTACAATATCAGAAATTCTAACAGACATGTGATTGGCACCCCAGAAGGTGACAAGAGAAAGAGAAAAAGTATAAAAGATGTCAAACTGCTGAAAGCCAAAGATAAAGAGAAACTCTTGAAGGAAGAGAATAATTGCATATCACACACGAGGAACAACAAAACAATTAATGACTTATTTCTCATAATAAATAAGGAATACCAGAAGACATTGTAATGACATATTTAAAGTCTTGTGGGGACAATTTGTTAAGCAAGAATTTTATATTCAGTGAAACTATTTTTTAAAAGGGAAAATAAAAAAAACATTTCTAGATAAACAAACTGAGGGAATTTGTTGACAGCAGACCTGTACTATAAGGAATGCCAAAGGAGTTCCCTCAGACAAGAAAAATGACTCTAGAAATAACATCTAAAGTGAGAAGTAAAGAGCACCTAGTAAATATATGCGTATATTTAAAAGTTATATTTTCACATTTCAATTTATTTAAACAATGTATGTCTAAGAAAAATTGTAAAAAAATTGTAGTTTATAACATACATAAATGAAATATATATATGTATACACACACACATATCCATAGCACAAAGAAGAAAAAATGGAAATGAAAGTATACTGGTAAGAAGTTTCTATAAATATTTTACTGGAAGTAAGTCAGTATTAGTTTGAAGTAGATTGTGATAAATTAAAAGTGTAATAAATTTAAGATAAGTAGCAACCACTAAATAACACAAATTTTAGGGGTACTAAAATGGTATAGTAAGAAATGATCGCTTAACACAAAAGAAGGCAGTAAAAGAGGTGAGACAGACAGAAAACAAATAGGAAAATGGCAGACAAATCCAGTCATATCAACACTTATATTAAATGTGAGGCAACTAAACAAAAGGCAGAGATTTTCAGACTGGATATAAAAAAGCAGGTTCCAGTTAAGTGGTATCTATAAGATATACACTTTAAATTCAAAGACATTAAAAGATTTGATAGTAAAAGGATGAAAAAAGATAAACCATGCAAACTATAAACATAAGAGATGTGGTGATTATATTAATGACAGACAGCATAATTTAAACAAGAAACTAGAGATAAATAGAGACCTTTCATAATGATAAAAATTAGTCTTACAGTAAGATGTAACAATTATGAATATGTTTTAACAATAGAGCTCTAAAATACATGAAACAAAATATTCAGAATTAAGAGATAATGAATGATTATATTTAGGGATTGAATAATATTCCTCTTGCGATAATTAGAAGAGTAAGTAGATAGAAGATTAGTAAGGAAATAAAAGCCTCGAGAAACACTGTCAATTTGACCAAATTGACAGCAGCAGAATCATGTTCTTTTTAAATGTGGAATATTCACTGAGATAAACCAAATACTCAGTATGCTTAAAAAGTTTAAACAAAGTAAAATCATATAGAGCATATTTCCTGACACTGGCTTGTTACTTTTGTATCTCCCTCGTTTTGTTGGTTATTGGGCATAGTAAATTCGGAGCAGTTTCAGTTGGCTTATTTTTACTCAGAAACCTTACTCAGTTGCTTATTTGCCTGTGTATCTCATTGAGTTATAATTCTGCAAGCTCATGTAGTATTGATACTGCATACATATATTTATATTATATGCAAATATATACATACTATATACACATGTGAACTAAACGTATTTAAATTTATATTATTTGTATGTATCTGTTTACATATTTTTCTCTTTAATTGTTGTGCTTCTTGAAGGCAAGGAGCTGTTACGTACACATTTTATTTCCCATAGTGTGTCATAGGTTATTATGTATAGCAGCTGTTCAGTGCAGGTTTCTGAATTAATTGCAGCTAAGATGTATTATTATTTGACTCTAAAGTATTGTTCCAATAATAGTGTAGGAAAATAAATGTTAAATTGGATTTATTTTTTACTGAGATTCTTTTCTCTCCTTATCCATAATACAGGTGCATCAAGAGAGTGTACACATGATTGAAGTCACAAGCAGTTTGATTAATGAGACTCTAGCAAATCACCCTGAGTGGGCAAAGTAAGAATATTGTTTGACATCAAAAATAGAGATGAATGACCTAGGTTCAGCATCTGTTTGCATGAAGTGGTCTTCATTGCTGCAGCTATCATGGAAGAAAAAAGATAGCATTTGCAAAAGTTTTGATGAATGTTGTCATATTTGAGTAAAAATTGCAAGTAATATGGGAGGGGGGTGTTGGGAAAGTGCTTAAGAGTTTGGAAATAATCTATATTAAATGATACTTTATATTTGAATTGAGATTTACAGTTTCCAACATGTTAATAATTTACAAACTATTGTCACCTACGTTGTGACCTGTCTTCTTTACAGTGTGCGGTAGGTTGAAGAGATTATCGGTATATCACAGATGAAGAAAGAAGATTGAGGGTTAAGGAGATTGAAACAATAATCCACTAGTGCCAGAGTCAGTGTTTCTGATCAATTAAGGGAAGCTTTCCAACATACTATCTGGTCCTTCAAGTTTCTATAGAATTTTTGACATATTTCTGTATTGTATCATTTTGGCAAACTGTGGCTCAGGACCAAATCCAGCCACCTTTGTTTTTGAAATAAAGTTTTATTAGAATACACCCATAGCCATTCATTACCATGTTGTCTATAACTATTTTGGACCGCAAGAGCAGACTGAATTGAGTAGTTGCGACACAGAGTCTGTGTCCCAAAAACTGTAAAATATTTACTCCCTGGCCCTTTACAGAAAAAAATTAGCTGACCCCTATCTTAGAGGCTCTCTTTGTGTACTTGTTTAATTTGGCTTCTGTGAGAGGGTTTTATGTCTGTGGGGAACGTTTAGCAGAGCTAAGCTGTTCATCTAATTGAACTTGATGACAAATTGCATAATCTCTTTTTTTACTAAGTTAGGAAATACTCTGCCAGTTTTACGATTATAAATTGAAATTTAACTTGGTTTTCTCCTTTGACTTGACTTTATGTCTTTATATAAACCTGCTTAGAACATTTCTTTATTTGAGCTAGGTTGAAATCATATTTGAATATTCTTAAAAGGACTTATTTCAAAATACATTTTACCACACTTATCTCCTTTCCCCAGAGCATACTGAAAGTGCTTTTCTTCAATATTTATTGTTATAAATTGTGATATATTCACACAATGGAATAATGCGTAACTTAGCCTTAAGTAAAAATGAATGATTAGTGCCTGCAACAACATGAATGAATCTCAGAATAATTATGCTGAGTGAAAGAAGTCAGGCAAGAGAGAGTTCACAGAAAGTGGTACCATTTATGTAAAGTTTTAGAAAATGCAAACTGGTCTATAGTGACAAAAAGATTGGCGGTTAGGGTTGTGGATAGGGTTGGGCTCCAGGGGAGAGCACAAATATTCAAGAAGATTTTTGAGGGATAGATACGTTCATTATCTTGATGAAGAATATAAGAAGAGGCCTCATGAGATTTCATCCTAGAGTACTCTTTGCACCGGCACTACAGAGAAAAGATGGAGGGGGAGATACAAGACTGGAGCCTTTTAGATCGGTTAAAAGCTAGAGTTAACCAGGTGAGGTGATGAAGCCCTGTTCGTGGACAGTTATAGTGGAGGTGAAAAGAACAGATAGATTTTTAAGCTCTTAAGAGGGTCAGTTGGTGATTAATTGGGTATAGGAGGAAGAAATCTAGTGTGATTCATAGGTTTCTAGCTTAGAAAGTTAGTGAATGATGATGGATTCACTAATATAGGAAACAGCAAATTTTGGTGGAAAAAAATAATTCACTTTTTTACTTGTCGAGTTTGAGGTGTCTGTGGTAAGTATAAGTAGAGGCATCCAGTAGGCCATTGGTATGTTGGTGTGTAGTTCAGGAGAGAGATCGGGAGTGAAGTTAAAAAATTGGCAGCCTTACTATCTAAAGGGCTCCTTTCATGATCATTCTTCTATAGTAAAAATAAGTCCAAATCCCTTCTGTACTCGTTTTCATTTGTAGCACCATCTCTATTGAAGGCATAACCAATCTGGGGAGGTCCAAATCAAGAGAAGTAACAGAAAGGTGGCTGTTTTTGTTTCATTTAAATTTTGAAATAATTTTAGACTCATAGGGAGTTGCAAAGAAATGCACGCAAAAGTCCCATGGACTCTTCTTCACCTCCTCCAGTGTTGTCATCTTGCATAACTATAGTACAATAACAAAATCGGGAAACTGACATTGGTACAGTACACAGACCTTCAGATTTCTCTGGTTCTCCATGCACTCGTGTGTGTATCTATGTGTGTTCTCTGTAATTTTGTCATATGCGTAGCTTCCTGTAAGCTGCCAACAACATCAAGATGGAGAACTGTTCATCATCGTAAGTTCCCTCATGCCACCCCTCTATAGCCACACCTACCCTCTACCTCCTCCTTTAGCATATCCCCACTCTTGGCAACCAATAATCTGTTCCCCATATCTATAATACTGTTTCAAGAATAGTATATAAGTTGAATCATAGAGTATTCAGCCTTGTGAGATTGGCTTTTTTTTTTTTTTTTTTTGACTTAGCATAATTCCCTTTGAAGTCTATCAAAGATGGTGGATCAATAGTTGTTTCTTTTCATTGCTGAGTATTATTCCATGCACTCTTGGCAACCAATAATCTGTTCCCCATATCTATAATACTGTTTCAAGAATAGTATATAAGTTGAATCATAGAGTATTCAGCCTTGTGAGATTGGCCTTTTTTTTTTTTTTTTTTGACTTAGCATAATTCCCTTTGAAGTCTATCAAAGATGATGGATCAATAGTTGTTTCTTTTCATTGCTGATTATTATTCCATGTAAGAGGATTTTAAAAAGCTGTTTAAACGTTGGTGATTCATGGGTCTGATTCTTTCACAGCAAAAGGAGCCCTTTAGATATTAAGGCTGTCAATTTTTTTAACTTCACTCCAGATCTCAGTGGGAGTGGACATGAATTAATAGTAATGGTTTCTTGCAAATCTTAGTATCCAGTAGATTTCTGCCCCAAAGAAGGCGGTTACCCTTGTGGGATGTTTATGTGGATATTCCTAGTTGAGGGAATATAGTTAAGAATTGATCAGACATATTTTTTTTCAATGTGGTACATGTTATATATGTCCCATGTAAGTATCCCGACTTCCCACGAATGTGCTTGGTAAGATGGTATGTAAATGATAAATACTTAGGGTAGGATCATCCTAGCAGAGCTTCAGAGAAAATAAAGTTGAACTCAGAGCACATCTCAATTCTTGTCTTGGACAATTCTGTTAGTCTGGAACCCATTTTCTACTTTCTGTTGACTAGGTTCAAGTCTGTTTATTCTAAGGACCCTCCTTAGGAGATAGCACTAAGAAGCTACTGAATGCCACTTAGCAATGCCATTACTTGGGAGGAACCCAGTAGGCTAAGCTGTTTTTAATTGAGGCTGTTCTCTTGGAAGGTCATATGGTGATAGAGATTAATATTTACCCAGGAAGGTGAGGGTAGGCCAGTCCAAATTATAGGAACTTGGTTTCTACTGAGGGTAGGAGAGTTAGATTGGCAGAGATAGCAAATAGCCTAAGGAAGGAGCTCACTTTAGAAGCTGTGGTTGGTATAAGATCGAGGCACATCCCAGTTGGTCCCAGGGAAGGTAGCTCAAGTATTTCTGCTTCTTTCTTTTAGAGGGCATGTATTGTGAGGAGGTCTAGACTGAACTAAGGCCTCTGGCTTGACCTCATGACAGCTTTCCTTATCTGTTGCTGTTAGGATGCAAGACATTGGTGAAGTGTTTGCACTGCAGCCAGCAAGACTATTAAGCTTAGTAGATGTTCATTAGTCATTAAGGACCAATTCAGATACCTCTGTGAATCCTCACACTTTTGAATATCACTACAACATATAATTTCCCCAATAAAAATGAAGTACCATACAGTTGAAAATATTCAGTAGTCCATTCAAACCACTGATGAATCTATGACTATTAGAGTGATTTAAAAGCTGTTATAGGTATCTCTAAAGATTTGTCTTTCTTGTTGAGAAATATTTGAACTGCGAATTTGCAAAAAGCTTCACAAATAATTTGTTTATGTGGAGTATAGGATGAACGAGTTAATATTAAAGAGTCAAACCAATTTGTGAATGTCAACACCTCTAGTATACAGCAATTAAGAAATTATATTAAAATATTTTCTCCTTTGGAAAACACTGAGCACATGTCGCATGTTACTGATTAAGGCAGATGCCTGCTCAGTTAACAGGAAAATGGGGAGCCCACCTCTCTCTGCCCAAGGATTAAAGTTTGTAGACTGCAGTTCCTTGTATAGCTGGAACTCTGCTCAGAACTTCCTTGCATCTTAAAGAAAAAGATCTTCAGTGGATAAAAAAAATTGAAAACAATGATTTACCGTCTTAATTTTCTTGTTTTTTTTTTCCCCTCAATTCTTCAGTTTGTTAGATCAGTTGTTCTCAAATGTTAGCATGCATCAGAATCACCTTCAGGGCTTGTTAAGGTATGGATTGCTGGTTCCTAGCTCCAGAGGTTCTTTTCAGTAAATCTGGGGTTTGGCCGGGTTTCCAACTACTTCTGATGCTGGTGGTCCATGGACCACACTTTGAGAGCCACCATTTTGAGTCCCAGAACCACTTCCTCTGATGCTGAATAAGGCAGATGACCCAGGGCTTTACGGACAGAGAAACCCAGCAGAGCAGAGTGAAAGGATGGTTCTGGGAAAAGTGAGTCTAAAAGATAAAGCTTGAAAAGTAATCCCAAATATTAGAATTTGGCCAGTTAGGCCTATTTCTAAGTCAAGGATTCCTGCATGTGATTCATTTGTATCTGTGCATTGATGACTAGTCGACAGTTTGTCAGTTACCGATTGTTTAAATATGTTGAGTTTAAAGAGTTATTGGTACAGTACACTAAAAGTGTACTAATTTTTCATTTTTTTCTTTATTTTTAAATTAGTTGGCTTCCTGAGGCTCAGGTAGTCCAAAGAGCCCTCAATTCTGCGGCTAACAACGTGTATCAGTATGGACGAGAATGGATAACTCACAAGGTAAGGGAAGATCCTCTCTTTGTGGCTTTCTTTTTGCAAGGCCTTCATTTAATAAAGCATAAACTGAGATTCTGTTTAGAACAATTGTATTTTTGCAATAGGCTTATATCTACAAGTCAGCAAGCAACATACAATGAAATTAAACCTACTGGATGATGACACTGAGTAGTGCTAGTAGCCTGAACAACCTGAGAAGTTGGCCATTTGCTTCTTGTTCAAGATAGATCTGATTCATTATTTGCGCATTAGGAAGGAATGATCATTAAGCTCAGGTGGTCAAAAAGGCTTTGTGGGAGTAAAAAAGTATTAGCGCAAATTAAATTTTATTATTTGCTGGTTAACTGTGCTTTGCAGTTTCCAATTTGTTTCATTTAGTCTTTCCAAGAAACCTGCAGTAGTGTGAATTATTTTGTCCACTTTACAAAGAAACAAACTCAGTAAGGCTAGGTTAATTCTCAAGGTCGTGTAGTAAATTGAAGAGCTTGGTTTCAAACTGAAGACTAGTCCGAATCCCTAGCTCTTTACAGTGCAGTATGGCTAGAAGTGTGTGTCCGGAACTGAAAAGAGTGTGTTAATGTGGCAGCTGAGATAACCTTGAAGGAATGATAGGTCTTAGATGCAAAAAGAGAATGAAGGGTGTATTTTAAGAAGGGATATATGTGAGCCAAGATGTAGCAGCAAGAGTGTGCTTGGGAGATGAGCTCAACTGAAGCTTTGTGAAGGAGAAATGACAGAAGACATAACTGTCGCAGTTAAGGATCAGATTCCATGATACAGATTTGGGATATCCTCCCCACCTTCTCCCGAGTATGAGAAAAAGTGGTAAACCAGAAAGTCACCACTCTCCTGGAGCATATACTCTGGTGAGAGGAGACAAACATTAAACATGCAAACAAATAAGACTTTCACATTTAAAAGTGTGGAGAGCAGGGTAAACAGGATAGTGTGGTAGAGTGAACCAAGGTGATGTTTTAGCTGGAATGGCCAGAGAGCGTCTCTGAGGTGACGTTTCCACTGAGACTGGGATTTGCCCAGATCTGGTAATTAGTGAATTTGTGAAGATCTGATAAAACAAAGTTTTAAGCTGAGGTCTAGGGAATTCAGAGTCTCTTGAGATGGGAACAGGCTTGGTTGAGGGAAAGAAGGAAGGACAGTGTGTCCAGAATGGGGAATGTGGTAATGGGACAAGCCCTAAGTCATCATAAGAAATTGGGATTTTCTCTTAGTTTCGAAGGTAAACATATGGATTTAAAACAGAAGGGGATATGACCCGATTTCGGATATTGAAAGCTCATTTTGGCTGCTTTATGGAGAAAGGGGCAAGAATGGAGAAGGAAGGGAGACCAGTTAAAATATTATTCCGATAGTTCAGGTGAAATATTGATAAGTTGGCTAGGATTGTGAAGTGGAAACTGAGAGAAATGGTCATTTGGGATATATTTTTGAGGTTGTTCTGATCTCAAAAATTCATGAGGTATTACTCATGGATTGGCTACAGAGTAAAAGGGAAGGAAGGTTTTGGTTTGCTGAAGGAAGGTTAACTATGCCACTTGCGGAGGTGGAAAAACTTGGAGGTGGTAGTGGGGTATAGGTGTTACAGATTCTGTTTGGGGCATATTAAGTTTGAGATAGTACTAAATAAGTAGAGATATCAAAAACTGTAAGTGGACATACACAACTGGAGCTCAGGGGAAAGATCTGGGCTGTTGATGGAAGTTTGAGTATCATTGGATAGTATCTGTAGAGTCAGATGATATGGCCTATATTGATTTGCTAGGGCTGCCATAACAAAGTGTCACGGACTGGGTAGCTTTAACCACAGAAATTTATTTTCTCATAATTCTAGACGCAAGAAGTCCAAGATCCGAGATGTCAATAGGATTAGTTTCATCTGAGGTCTCTCTCCTTGGCTTGCAGATGTCCTATGGCTTCACATGGTCTTCCTTCTATATATGTCTGTGTCCTTATCTTTTTTTTCCCATTAAGGACCCAAGTCATCTTGGATTAGGGCCCACCCTAATGACCTTATTTTACCTTACTTACTTCTTTAAAGACCCTGTCTCCAAATAGTCACATTCTGAGATGCTGGGAGTTAGGACTTCAACATATGGATAATGGGGGTTGGAGAAGGACACAATCCAGCCCTAAGGAAGAGGGTACATAGAAGAGGATCACAGACAGACCCCTGGAGTGCTTAAGGTTCTGACAGTCAGGAAAGGCAGCAGGGAAGATTGAGGGAGGAGTAGCCTGTGAGGTAGGAGGAAGACCAAACTGTGTATGTCATAGAGGCCTAGAGAAGAAAATGTTTCAAGAAACACTTGGTCAGCTATGGCTAATGCGGCTAAGATTTCACATGAGTACTGAGAATTGCCCCCCACTTCATAGATGAGGTTATTTGTGTTAAGTCATACAACTCAAATGGCATTCTGACTGCCCTTGATGCTTTGTTGTTTTCCATATGCAAAGAGCGTGTCACATGCTACCAATAGTATGTGTGCTTTACTGATTCTTTTAATAGCAGTGATGTGTCCATTAGACTGTACTCTCTGGCCCAGTCTTCCTTGCAGCTAGCTATATATATTATAGTGTCACAGAACAGTATTCTAGGTTTGTAATGTTCTGCTATGGTTGATAGCGCCACGATCTTGAAAATAGTGTTTTATAGCATGCTGTAAAATTATGCTGAACTCTCCTTTACTGTTAGGTTGTGGTATTCTAGAGTTATTTATTCACTGTTGTGCTGGGGGTGGGACTGCTAAAGGAGATGTCAGTTTGAATTAGTGCTTTATTGCAATAAAGGCCACTGTGCAGACAGTCTCAAAAAGAGACTGTGCATAATTTTCGGCCTCTTCTGGTTGAAAGAAAATCTCAGAAACTGATAGAAAAATGACAAAAAGAATTGGTAATAGGAGGTCTGTGAGTATCTGACAGTTATATAAAAGACAAATTTAAAGTAATTAAAGGAAATTAGACTGGGGTAATTGTGGTTTTTAATTTGGGGTAATTTGTTCTGTTAGGTGTCCTTTATTCATAGATTATATAGGCCATAGTTGAAAGAACATTTGAGAACTTTTAATTCTGACTCTGCCACTTGGCTGCATGACCCTGGGCCTGTCTTAGATCTGTTTTCTAAATCTCTTCTCTCAAAAGAACAAAGATGATGACAAAACTATTTTCTGTCTAACTCTTGGGGTTGTTGTAAAGATCACAGGTAGGCGAAAGCCATTTGCAAATTGTAAAATATTTTACAGAGATAAATGGCTTTTATATTCACTAATTTGTGTTTGGTTTATGAATAAGTCACATATAAAGGAAAACATTGGGCAGATATATTTGCATCAGATATGTCTAATAAGAACTGGTTCAAGTATCTATAAGGCCAGCATCAAGTGGGCAAAAGGTATGGATAGGCCACACTAAAGGAAATACACATTGAAAACCAAGATGGAAAATGGGCATTCTAGTCACTAAAGAAGAAGAGTATAAATAATTGGTTATCATTCCACACCTCTTAAATTACCTAAAAATTTATCAGTTAGTCTATAAGGCTTTGGGAAAACTGGTTCATTTATACTGTATTGGAAAGTATTTATTGATATGTTCGTTACAGAAGACAATTTAACTGCATAGCAAGAACCATTAAAATGCTCATTTCCTTTGATCTTTGTACATTTTTCTTACTGTTAGTAATAAGAAAAATATTGTGTATAAGGATGTTCACTGCATTGTTACTACTTGTGACATTAAAAATTACATATATATATCATAGGATATATATATATCCTATGATTTGGTAATGATTAAATAATAGCAAAACTTAATGAACTAATATGAAACTATTAAAAATAAAGATGAAGGCTAGTGATGAAGACTAAATATGAAATCCTTGTGACGCAAAAGAAAATACAGAATTCTAAATTATGTCAATGTAAACAGGCAGAAAGTTGCAAAGGAAATGGAAAAATGGCAACAGTTGTATTAAGGAAAGTGGGACTCCAAATCAGTGTTTGTCTTTTTAAAGTGTCTTTAATATTACCAGATGGTTTTAATAACAAATAATGTGTGGGCTAAGACACTGTAGTAAATAGCCTTTCTCTAAGTTATCTCATCTCAGTGTGCTTGATTCCCACAAAAGTTGAAGCCGGTTTGCTCAGTCATAACTTTTAGACACAACATCTCTCAGCAAACTAAGGGAGATATTTGTGTTTGTAGCTAAGGTTTTAAAATTTTATTTAAAATTCTATGGCAATTCTTAATAATAGCAATAAATGTAGCATGAATCTTCTGTCTAATGAGTGAGCATTGGGGTCACATGGACAGATGTTTCTCTAGGCAGGTAAGATCAGAGATGTTACTTATCATTGCTTCATTAGTACCATTCCCCTATAGCATGAAGTAGCTCACCTCAAGACCTAAGGATGGAGGAGAGAGAAAAGAAGCAAGAGAGAGAGGAAATTTACTGAGAATATTAAGGAGTAAATTTTATGAACAGAGCACAGTTGTAACTAGAGGCAATTAAATAGTCTGGAACATTTTAGTTTGATTTGGAACAAATGTAAAGACCAACATGTATTAATTTTATTGGATTATTGCCTGAAATATTAAACCAGATAATATCTGTATTTCTTTCAGCTTCATAAAATTCTTGGAGATAAGGTGAACAATACTGCTGTAATTGAAAAGCAAGTACTAGAACTTTGGGACAGACTGTATCATTCTTGGTTTGTAAAGGTAAGGTGTTTTAGCTAAGGATTTCAGTTATAAACTAATAAAGTCCTTTTATGTATCTGTCGACTAGATAGGATTGTTTTAACACTAGGACTTCATTTATTGAAATTTTTAAGCTGCAGAGTCTTCAACCTTAAGTCGCTAAATCATTGTGAGTTGATGGTTAATTTCCATGGCAGAATCTGCCAGTCCCTCTGCTCCATCCGTGTTGCATCGTCTGTTCATTACCATCAGCAGCATCTCATCATCTAGGCTAGCTCTGTGCAGTAGAAATGTAAAGCAAGCCACAAATGTAATATTAATTTTCTTAATGGCCATGCTAAAAAACTAAAAGTAAACAGGTGAAATGAATTTTAATAATTACTTAACCCAGTAAATTCAATGTATTATCATTTCAATCAGTAAAATAATTTATTCAGATATTTTATTTTATTTTATTTTTTTCATATTAAGTCTTAGAAATCTGTTGTGTATTTTACACTGACAGCACACTTTAGTTTTTGGATTAGCAGCATTTTAAGTGCTCAGTAACCACATGTGGCTACTGTTTTGGAAAGTACAGCTGTAGACATTAAGAACTTTTTCTTTGAGGAAGTGCAAATAGATCCAGACATTTACGAATCTTTATTTTAAGTCAGCCTGTGTGCTACTTGTGCTGATGTATTCTTACTTCAGAATTTATGATGGAAAAATATCATTTTCCATTAAATAAAAAAGCGACAGTTTTAAAAGCAACGGATTGTGCCGGGCTATGCTATGCCGGGCTGGCAGGGCCTGTGAGCCATCGGGAACTGTTGTGGAAGACTCCTGTCCAGTGGGGAAGGAGGCGGAGAGCGAGGCAGAGTTAGTGGTGATTTTTCCCATGGTTGGTCTAAGGAGAGGAGGGCATATATAAATCTCTTTTCTTGGCGTAGTGGAGAGGAGGGCTCAATTTTAAATTTATTTCTTAGTGACCTGTTTGGATTGTATACTCTTATCCTGAGAGGAGCTGAAGGAGAAGTGTTGATTTTGTGGATTTCAAAGACTGAGAGTTAAAACTAATTGAAGAATCTCTAGGTAGATATCTACTGAAGAAGCAGGCAATAGGGTTGTGTCTATTTCTTCTAACTGGGGGGCTTTTGCTTACAAACAGCTTTTACTATCTATCCCTCACCCCCTTTAAGCTTTCTTTTATGATCCAGAGAGGTCGATGTTTTAAACACATAGGTATGTAAGTGGTTAAGTATGTTGCTTTCTTTACTTCTTTTATTAGGACCCTAGTGTCTTTATTGCATAATGAAGGTGGATATGGCTGTGCTGCTAACAGGTGGGGGAGTGGAACCACATGCCGAATGCTAAGAGCTTGCCTCTGTTACTGAGTTTTAACCTCACCAGTCACTTCATTTATTCACGTCTCTTTCAAATCCAGTTATTCTTCTGTTCCTGCCAGTGTAATTTTCTTCCAGGTAGACAAGTTAGATTCTCCCCAACCCCCACCTCCACCTCTTATTTCTTTTTTTGATTGTTTTTTTTTCCCCTTTTTTATTGAGACACAGTTGTATTGTGTTGTATTGACATAACATTGTATTGCTTTTCATATTCTTCTCTCCACCCTGCTCTCTTTATTTTGTGTGGAAGATTAATAAGGAAGATGAGGGAAGGAGGAAAAAAGCAAGGGAGACCAGGAAAAAGGGGTTAAAAAAAAGGGAGGAAAGACGAAAGTAAATACTGCGTTCGTATACAGTTGAATACATTGAGGAATAAAGTGTGTTCACAGATGTATTTAGGAGGGAAGCACTTGAGCCAGGCTGAGACACGGAACTAGAATGTAAACAGATATCTTTCAGGTCTTTGGGTGCAGTTCTTAATTGATTTCTAAAATAATGCAAAGTTATTAAACCATGTAAATGTCTAATATACTATATATTTGAAACTAATAATAAAATTTTAAAAATATTAAAAAAACCTAAAATAATGCAAAGTTTTTCACTTTTGTGTACTTACTAAAGTGCTCAAGTGGACCTAAAACAAAATAGGCTATTTATACTTTCTATTCTGTAGGTTAAGATGGAGATTTCACATCTGAACTTTTTTATTCCATAGAACGTGACACATTCTGGAAGACACAAAGGACACAAGATGCACATGAGTCGTCAGAATAGCTGGCTGGGGGACATTCTGGACTGGCAGGATATTGCCTCCTTCGTTCACGAGAACATTGAGACATTTCTTTCGGTAAGAAATAGTATTCATAGTTAAACTGGACTTAAAATAAAAAACTAAAAAACGTTAATTCTCAGCTTTCTTTATACACTTAAAGGCCTTTTAGTTACCCTGTTTTTAATGCCGCGACATTTACATTTTTGCAAATTCTAAATGCACTAGAAAGATGTTCAAAAGTCATAGACCTCAGATGTATCTCCAACTGATGCGCCCTTTGTGGCTGAAGAGTAAGCAAAAGATGCTGAATCAGGAAGCACACGCATGGTGCTGTTGCTCTCAGATTCTGAGGGAGATAGGTATCCTTGTCCCCCTCAGCTGACCAGAATGTGCCCAGCTGGACCACTGGAGAGGGAGCTGTCTTTCTGGTGGGTGAAACCCTTTGGCAGATGGAAATATGCTTTTCTCTGCCGTGCACCATCCACCTCTGCATTTTTTTAAACAAAGAATGGAGGGCAGCAGGGAATAGCTTGCAGTGTAGCTAAGTTTTAGCGACTGCTTTATTCTGTTGTTTATTTTGTGAGGTGTCTCGGCCTATGGCTTTTCACAGAGATTAGAATAATTTTCTTATGCATAAACTTATGACTTTCATCAAGTTGACAGAAGTTGAGATTTGCAGTGCTAGATTTTTTTAATTTAATTTTTATCAAAATAAAACATGACCATAGCTGAAAAGTCAAAAATGCTTTAGAATTTTTATTAAAAAACTGTAGCAATGCCTAATTCTGTGCTTTTCCACTTCAGTCTCACTCTCCATAAACAGCTGTCAATTCTTTTAGCTTTCTCTGGGCATTTCAAAATAATGTTTCTGCTGTTTTCTTGGTTTTACAGTTTTAGATATTATCTTTTGGCTTTCTGATATGGAAGATGAAGGTAAAGGTGTGACTTTTTTTATAAGTCCCTCAGTGCTCTCTTCCACTTCCTTTAGGATTTTCTTACAGCTCCTTTGGTTCCTGCCTTCATCCCTACACACACTTTCCCTTCCTCCCATCCACCTAATAGAGCTATAGCAGTTTGAAATGACATTTGTTTACCTCTGCCATCATACTTCATGCCAGCAGCTCTTGCTTGTATTCTAAACCTTCCTGCCTAATCCTCTTGAGTACACAGAAAGGTCACTTGATATTGGTGATTACCAGTCTACAGTTAATGTATTCAGTTAATTTCTTAAGAATTACCATAGGGCATTTCCTATCAGTATGACCCAGAAACTATTGTAAATCTTTTATTGATAAAAATTCCAAAGTCACTGAGGCCCCCAAAAGAATGCTTGTCGATATCACAAGTAAGGGCATTGTTAGTTTGTTTCTTGGAATCAGTGGCATTTATTCATTCATTCTCTATCCCACAGGGTCAAACAGTCAATTATGCATATTTTTGTAGGCATTGTGAAACATTTTCAAGATTTTATGTAAGGAGTTTTTGTAAATGAAACCAGCCTGCCAGAGTTCTCTTATAAAGACTGAGCTGAGGTTTGCAAGAAATGCCGAGGACAACAAAATGTGCCTTTATAAATGGTACATTTGAGGTAGGAAAGGAATGGATAGGCCTTTCATAGCACAGATGGTATAACTTGAACATATGACAAAAACCAGAATTGCCTTTTGGAAAGGGCACCAAAATAAATTCAGACATGAGTTCTGGTCCCAGCTCTAGCTGTACTTATTAGCTCCATGCCCTTGGGCAAGTTTTTAAATACCTTTGAGCTTCACTTTGCATATCTATAAAATAAAGATGATATCATCTACATTGCTTCCCTCACAGAACTGTTGTGAGGTTTATGGGAGCATTTTGAAAACTGTAAGGAAAGGTGTTTTTCTGAACATTTTGCTTCCATGTTTTTCATTAAGAGGAAGAATGCTTGAGAATAGAACAGACATCACGAGGGAATTTAAGTTTATAAAGAGATATGAAGTGAAAACATGTAAGTGCTATAGATATTGTACATCTTTTTAGTAATATTTAGCATCTTTTTGGTTCTAGCGAACTTGCAGGTGATAGATTAACTGAACTCAGTAGGTCTTAATATAAGGGTCATCATCTCTCTGAGGCACAGTCTGTAGCTGCAGAGCTCTGCCCAGGATCCTATCTGTTCATTTCTTTTATTGTGCTTTTAGTGAAGATGCTTTTGTATTTGTAGATGTAACTAAGTTGGAGATGGCAGTGGGGGGAGGCAGCTAATGAGACAAATGCTAGATTTTCATGGCCTGCACTTGTGATTCTACATGCATTTTGGCATATTCTCCTATAGGTGTTTTTTACTATTCATTACCAGTTTTACATAGTTATAATCATGATGTATATAAAATTTTTGTATCTTGCTATTTAAACTTAGTGTATCATAAAATACTTTCCTATGTTAATAATAGACATGTTTCTGATGGCTGCCTACTATGTGGAGTAGCTTCACCATAATTTACTCAACCATTTTCCTTACTAATCAATATTTAAATGTTTTTAGATTTTTCTTTATTTAAAATAATAGTTCTTGTCTTTTCAGTTTATGGTACCAAACTGCCATATTAAAAGCACACTAGGTACCTGTAGAAACTTCTTCCCCAGGGTCTAGTTCTGATATTCAGCTTTTCCTCCTTGCAGATCTTGGAGTCCCTGTGGATTGTTATGAGCCGGAATGTGAGCTTGCTTTTCACCACTGTCACTACACTCCTGACGATCCTCTTCTACAGCGGGACGGCCCTTCTCAATTTTGTGCTGTCTCTGGTATGTACATGGAGATAACAACACATCAGATTTCCTTCCGTAGTAAAGCATATTCTTGGTTCCATTTGTGTTTCCTTCCAATAGTTTCCAAATGTGTTTTTTTAGGAGATACTGTCCTTTGTTTTGCAGATAATTTTCCTGACCACACTATTTTATCTGTTAAGTTCCAGTGATGAGTACTACAAGCCAGTGAAGTGGGTGATAAGCCTGACACCACTGTCTCAGCCAGGCCCTTCCTCTAATATTATTGGCCAATCTGTGGAAGAAGCTATCAGGTAGGGCTAAGATTTATGCTGTTTTTATTTCCTTCAGAAACTTCTTTCCATGAGAAGCCCGTTTTCTGTCTTGAGCCTTCCTGGTAACATTCAGTGTTAAACTGGTGATGGAACTGGTATTTTCAACATTTTTTTAAATCTCCTTTTGAGAGGATAATCTGAGCAATGCGAACCTTGGTAGGAAAAAAAAACTCAAAACAGTTTAAATATCTTATTCTCAAGCCTGTGATTCACGAATATTTAATGACTCGTCCCCATCAGCTTTCTGTCCACAGACTCTTGCTCTGGCTGCTGATCATCATGTCACTTGGGCAGGAAACCTGCCTCTCATAACACCTCACTTTCTCTCAGAAGCCTCCTTCTGTTCTCAGGAGTTTTAGCTTCGCTCAGGGAGGAGATTAGGTGGCCTCCCTATTTCTTCTTTCCCTCTGCAGCCAGGCTGAGCCCTCTGCAGGGATGGATATTGACAATGCAGTTTTCAGTTATCTTAAAGTCATAGGCTCTGTGTGCATTGCAGGTCTGGCCAGGAACTTCTGTCGTATCTTCTGGGATCCATGTATTGCAGGCTTGGTTTCTGAAGGAGGTGTTTCTTCAGCATTTATTCTTCATATGCTCTTTCCATGTCACTGGCTCCTGCCCTGCTTTTCTTTCTTCTCTTCAGCATTTCACATAGGTAGAAGCCTTTGGATGCCCAGGCCTTGTCCTTCATTGCTCTGAACTCATTATTAACACTTTACTACATTTTTACTTTTATGAATAACAACTCAAATCCTCATATTATCCATTATGAGGGCTCCTTTTTCTAATAAGTTCTTAGCAAGGTGGTTGTAAACTTCTCTTGAATAGTGACTTTTCGGCTGGCATTTATGTTTCTACTTACTTGTAAAAAATACTGTTACTTGGAACTAGTCTTCTGCATAAATTTTGGTTTGACCTGATAATCTTGTCTGAATGCTCTTGGCTTATTTTTTCACTGTATTTATGCACCAGCTGGTGAGGATACCCCTTTGAACTTTGGGAAACCCTCTATTATATTCAAATAGAAAGAATTCTCATAAATATATTCTCTCTAGAAACTTTGGTAGATTTTTTCCCTTTTTCCTACTAGCAAAGCTTAGGTAAAGCCTTTATCTGTATCTTGCTTCTTTGATTGGACATCAAGTGGGATTAAACAAAAAAAACGTTTATTTCCCCTATGGTACTCTCGAGTATCCATGTGGGGCCATCATGTAAAGATTCCAAGTTTGGGAGTGTATTATCTAATGTAACAGTTTTCAGGATGAGGCTGTTCTTCAAGAAGAACTTACTGGCTTTAGCATTCCTTGTGAGCCTATGTGACTGTTGGTTGTCATCTTTATTGAGTAAATGAAATGATGAAAACTCCAGGAATAGATTAATGTTAGTTTATCTAAAGTGACATTGATCTAACTCAAAAAAGTTATGCAAATGCTCTATCAAAGAGGAAAAATAACCTCCCTTTGCAATAGACTAAAGCTATTGAATCAACCATCTCAAAGCCTGCCAGAATCTTGTAGACAGTGTGACTTAAGTCAAGCTTTACCGAAAAATCCCTAGCTTGTCCATTAAAAAAAAGTCAAGAAAGATACTTTATTTTCCTAAAGTAGATATATCTTTATTAGCACTGTGAGAATAAGAATTCTCACAAAAGCTTTTTTATCTTCAAATTACTGTTCTTGAATTTTCTCTTGTTCTGCTTTCTTAGTGTGAACTACTTACTGACCATCTTCTGAATGTCTGTCTTGCATCACCTTTTTTTCATGGCATATTTCGTATGAAAACTAAGTTGTCCTTTGTTTTAAACTTGATTCTTTACTGTCACAGTTGCTTGGAACTGGTAAGCAGAGCTGTGATTTGCTTCTAGGTCCAGCCAATCAAAAGCACTATCTTTGCGGTATGCCACGATACCTTCTTGCAAGAGGAACTGAGTGGGGGAGATCATAAATGCATGGTTTTGTTACGACTGTTCAGGTGGACACCTGAAGCTGACAGCTAAAAATTCCGGTCTGTGGCTTAGGAGGAAATTTGAGATTGG